AAGACGGTGATAATTGTTTCGATGAATAATATACACTTCTTCTACCGGGTTGTTTAAAATATAGAACAATACCTACGCCGTTTGTTCTTCTGTTTTATTGGCCACCGTTTTGACTGAAGACTATAATAGTATTATAACATCATTATAGGCCTTCCGACTCAACGTTGGACTTTTGGCACGGATTACTATTGTATAATACTATTGGACTCCGTCTTCCTCATTACGTCTTTGGTGCAGTCACTTGCAGAGGAACACCTGTCAATCAAGTGAACTCAGTTTGTGGTCGTTGTCCTCACGAGGCAGTTAACAAGTAACATTCATTCTATAGTAACTGTTAGCGTCTGTTTTGTTTAATATACCTTTTGTATTGCTAACGGTATTTTATTACCTTTGTTTTTACTAACGGACAGACATCTAGGTTTCTTAATCAATAATTTGTTTTGGTATATCATTGTTAACCTAGTGTATCAATATAATTTGTGTAAGCTCCTTTTGTTTGGGGACCACCACACATTATAGCTGATGTCAGTTCGTGTTGAAAACTCTGACTATAACCTGTAAACCTAACTCAATTCTCCAGTTTAATTCTTAATACTTAATGCTCATTTGTTTGCATTATAACTGATATATGTTAGTAAAGAAAGCTCTGTGGAGTGATAAACCTAGTTCACAACATTAGCCCAACTCCTAATATGAATGTATATGTATGAACCTTTTCTCTTTACTACAAGGGATAATTTGACTCGAAAGGATTAATTATTACGATCGAAGCACTTGTTCAAACGTTATTTCACAACCTTTTATTTTTAATTGTTTCGTAACTAGGCAGCATTTACTGATTGTAGGTATAGAATTATGGAGGTTGTTGAGTTTCATTGAGACCAGCACTGGAAACCTGGAAGAACTGAACGGCCGCCTTGTGCTCCTCAGCAGTGCACATCCACGACGCCGTGACTGGAATTAGAACCTAGAACCCTTGGTCACGAGCACTAACGATTAAAGGTTATCGGTCCGAATATAAAAATAACTATAGTTAATCAATCTTTGATATTAAAAGAGATAATTATTTTTAGCCTGAAAAAAAGGCATCATTGATTACTAGAACAGACAATGAGCCATAGGAAGACAATATCACAGAACTTTTGTATACCATGTTCAGCTGATCAAACGTTAGTTCCGAACATCAACGGTCGAACAATTCAAACAATAATAATGAAATGAATACGATACCCCTTGAACGAGTTAATGACTACTTATATTTCTAGGAAAGATAAGGTTAGTTCTCTATACTAAATTATATCAAGTGTTCGACCACCTTTGAAAACCTGGAGGAACTGTGTGATTATTCTGTACTAGTATCGGACTCCTCAGTAGTGAGTGTCCTTAATTCCGTACGTGAGATTCGAACCCATCACGTTCGGTCTCGCACGCAAACGCTTAACCTCTAGAGCCAGCATCTAGCGATATTAATGTTTAACTTAAAACAATCCACAATGTCATGAAACCATCTTCCAATGTATTGGATGAGAAATTTCTGGATTCGAGCCCCGCGTACAGCGTCGTGGACGCACACTACTGAGGAGTTAGATACTGGGACAAAATGGTCGTTCAGTGCTTCCAGGCTCTCAATGATTTAATATTGATCGGTTCGTCACCGCCCATATAACGCAATAAATGATCTTCAACGTTTAGTTAAATGTATCCTCAAGTTCAAGTGCCAAGTTCATCCCAAACGATTTTGAATGAGCTTAGAGCTTCCTCAGCTAAAATTGTAGCCGTAAGTTATAGACGAGTGAGGAGAATGAAACGTGAAGCAATAGCAGGAGAGTACATCCGTTGATGGGTGATGATTATCAGGTTGGTGTCTACGCATTTAATCGTCCAGACTGTTCACCAAATGCTGCAATCTTGAACTTGATGTATCAAACTATTAGGTGTTTATTGCAAACATCACACATATTTTCGCTTGATTACTGAATGGTACCGACTTCACGAAATTGCCAAGTCTACTAAAAAGGTAAACAAAAGATTAATGAAGTGGTACAATGAACGTATATATGAAAGTGGACAAACGTATATTAATGTACACAACTCTCGTTCCAGTGAATGGTCCTTACTTTGTGACTTCTTGTATTATGAACAGGCCGGTGTTCACAGGTCTAATATTTGTTTGCGAAATGTCGGAAATTCAAATGATAAAGCAGCTACCATGATTTGCTTCTTTTTGCATGTTACCCCTCGTGTAGAAGTATATGCCGCCCACCAGCAGGTTCCATCGAACTCTGTCATGGGCAACCCCTCTCCGTTGTTTCTATTTGTTATCCATCCTCCTAAAGTCTGCTTCCAATGCTTGACGCAGTTTGTTCTTGGTCCATCCACCTTCCCGCTTTCCTTCGGGATTAGCTCTTGCATCGCAATATAGTTTGATGATTTCTCCGACGTATGTCCTGTCCACTTCCGACGTCTTTTCCTAATTTCTTCTTCAGCTGGAAGCTTGTTCGTTCTCTCTCACAGAAAGTTGTTGCTGATAGTATCCGGTCAACGGGCATCGATTATCTTGTGTAAACAACTGTTTATAAATACTTGTTCTTTTTGATGATGGTTGTAGTAGTTCCCTAAGTTTCAGCTCCGTACAATAGAACTAACTTGATGTTCGTATTGAAGATTCTAACTTTTGTGTTGGTTGAAAGTTGTTTTGAGTTCCATATGTTCTCCAACTGTAGGAATGCTGCCCTTACTTTGATAATCCTTACCCTTGCATCCGCACTGAATTGTTCTTGTTCATTGATGATGCTGCCGAGATAAGTACGTGAAAGCTTCCACCTGTTCCAGAGTTTCTCCATCATGCGTGACTGGAATAGTGTTCTCTGTGTTGTGTTTGACGATCTTGTATTTTTACTTGTGTATGATGAGGTCTGTCGATTCAAAAGCTTCTTTCTGGACTTAGTTCTGGTTACTGCAAGCAACCGCGACCTGTCTTTGACAATCAGTCTCATTTTGTCATTCTAACTTCGACTTCCCTCCCATCATTTGGACCTACTCCAACATGTTAAAAATCATAACTCATTGTCCTTTATTACTGCATTATCTCATCTGTAGGTTCTAATCCCATTTCACTCTAACAAGAGGCATTAGGAGTTTATTTTACAAATTTGTCATACCTCAGTTTGTACCTATACAAAAAATTCAGTATTGTTTAGCGCTCATATCCAAGTGCCTTGCTACTTATTTGTTCCCCTTTTATTTCAGAATCTCGCTCTCAGGGCATAGCTATGGAGCTTTCGACGCTTGAAACAGACTTGACGTACGCGTTTCCTCGGGGTCGTAGTTCACAGCAAGCGCTCCACAAATCTACTTTACAACAACTAAACCCTCAAAAAAGTTGTTTTGCACAAACGCTTAGCACGACTAGATTACCAACACACTTGTATTGAGCTTGGATCTGATGTGAAACGTGGACGTTATGCCACTGCGAAAAAGTATTTTCACTAAAGTATAAACCTAATTATTAACGCTTTAAGACATCTGCACAAATGTGTTATCATTGTTTCTAAACCACATATTGACCTTGTTGCTTGTTGACTCATTTATTTTGTTTTTACATTTGCGTAGGTATGTGCACATTTTTTCCAACTCATCACACGTCTGTACTTTATTTGTATCCGGCTATAAATACTGATTGACGCTTGATTAAGTCCAATTGTCTCACGCGCTCTCTCCACTGCGCGTCATTATGCTTTGCTCTATCCTCTTCATGCCTTCGCTTCGTTCCTCTGATTGTCTGTCCAGATTAATGAGCGTACAAACTATAGGAGCTCAAAACTTTATTCCCGTGTTTCATATACTTAATTCCGTTATACACTAACGCGAGTTACGTCGATGATTATATATGAAAATTGGAGACATGCATTCATTGACATGCATATTTCGTTAACCATCATTCGTCCGATTTACCTGGAGTCAGATCCAGAGTCAGTAAAATTGGTCAGTAAGAGAATTTCTCACCTGAATCGGATACGTAACGATAACAATCCAAAAGAAAGTTAATATCTTCATTATTAGTCTATTTCCATCATAAAAGTAAAACAAAATAGTGAAAATCAGTTGAAACTGCAATCAGGAATACAAAATCGTATAAACCTTATTATTATGTCGTTACTTGTTGAGTTGTTTAGGTAGCCTTAAAAACAATACGGTTTTTATGGCGATATATGCTTTTCTTCACGTTATTTCCTGTAAAATCTACTCAGTTATATACATTTGTATGTGACTAGGTGGAAATTAATACTTTCCTGTTATACAATTATAGAAAACCTGCTCTAAAAGCACCTGAATAATGAACTTTCAAGGATTTTGAGTGGTCCTGAACCGAATAGCAGAAAACCCCCCACCCGGTTAGTTTTAGAATAAAAATGTAGCTCTGCCAATTTATTCATGATTAATATAAACTTTTAACAGTTCACGACGTGGATGTCAAAATGCAAGTCAAAATATGTGCTGATGGCACAGTGTCGTTGTTGAAACTTCACGGCCTTTATCAAAACATCCGGCAATCAGGTACTGAATGTCGAGCATTTCGCCAATTCCCTTCAAGGTCAGGGACAGCCGACTCGCATCAATTAATCACTTTTGTGAACTCGCTCGTATGATAGTTATCGCACTTCATTCCTCGTACCCACTCTTATATATTTCTGTAATAACGTCGTTTATGTTGGACGGTCACCAAAGTAATACCTGAATACGAAGAAACGGTAATTCATGATATGTGCTAACCATGAGATGCTGCTTAGACGTTAACTGATTGGTTGGGCCATTCCCGTCTAACTCAGGTAGGCTCCAGATCATTCGATACAGATTATCTACGGTGGCGATCGACAGATTTTACTATCCATTCACATATATGGAGTTCAATTGTTGGCAGATTTATGACCAGTTTCGGCTGTATTCAAAAACGAAGGAGAAAAATCGATACAGAAAAGTCAAAATAAACAACCCAAAACATGAAAAAGTATGAATATTATTACGATGTTGACAAAATATTGATTTCACTCACTGGTAAAGTCAAACAACAATAAATGTTCACAGAAGTGTTAAGAATACTATAAGCCATTAATAAATCACCTCTAAGACGCCTATATTCTAGTGGGTAAAGGTCTAGTGAACGGAGGCGTTCTTCGTAAGGCTTAGATTTGAGTCCTCGAACTGATTTCGTGGCTCGCCGTTGGATACGCTCCGTTCACTAGACCTTTACCCACTAGAATATAGGCGTCTTAGAGGTGATTTATTAATGGCTTATAGTATTCTTAACACTTCTGTACATCCTCTTAAACACCTACTTAAGCTTAGTTCGAACAATAACCTAAGGGGTAACACCCAGAAACTGGAAACACAACATAGCAAAACGGAATGTAGACACAACTTCTACTCCTTAAGAGTTGTCAAAAGCTGGAACTCGCTGCCGGCCGAGCTAGTCCAAGCGACTTCTCAGGAGTCCTTCAAGAGGCAACTTGACCCATTCTTAAGGACCAAGGACAGCATCGCACTATGATTTACCTATTTCTTTTCCTCTTTTATTGTTAACATACCTAGGTTCCTGCCTGGAGGATTTGGTGATCCCCTGCTACTAGACACGGAAGCCTGTTAAGCGAAAGCTTCTTCTATTCCGTCCACAACCATTTGAATTAGAATTCTCTCCGCCATTTCCTTAAGTAAGTGATTGTTAAGTGCCTTCGTGAGGAATCGTTTTTCGAATTTGGCGTGACGTCATTGTCGTCATAAAAGCATCCACTTTCCCATTACCACATTGGGATATTTAATCACTTCTAAGGGTATGAAATTATTCTTCACCATGCTGGTCGACAACCTGAATAACAAATCTGACAACCATAATCATATCAAAGTTGAATCAGTGTGGTGTTTGAATGAACTTGTAGTCGAATTGGGATTACCAATTGTATTCGTATTGGGATTACCAATTGTAGCGTGGCGTCGAGTTGAGATTAACTATGAACACCGCTACCAAGATATACGTGCCAAATAGATCAGAAGGCGTAAGAAGCTCGTTCCAAATGACTCCATAAAATCCCCGAGAAGCCGAATACCAGAAGGCAATTAATGGACCAAGTCGATGTTTATTTGCTGGCGATCTCGTGGCATCGAAAGGATACCGAGATCGTGCCAGGATACAAGCTTGGTTACAGAACGTAACCGAATTCGCGCGAAGTTACAATCAAAGTGTAAGTATAAGAATGGAAGCACAAAATAGCTGTCATTAGCACAGTCAAACAAAAGCACGTTAAAACAGTCACTGGTACACTTGGTTATAATAATAATTGTTTTTATTAAACCAGTCGTGTTCTCGTGATAAACGTGAGTCACTACAAACTAATGATAACTTTGTACTTGTTGAATGCTCGATTTCGAATTCTAAATACAGTACATTCGTTTGTGGTTATCTAGTACTTCTTGATCCTATTACGTTATTTCTGGGACTCTTCGTTCGTACTATAATTCAAATAATTTGAAACATTATATTGGCGTCGCGATGGAGCCTGCGATGGAACAGTCAGATATTCATTCAACTTCTGAAGCTTTTGTAGATTATTTTGAAAGGTTTGAAATTTGGGATATGACTAAGGAAGATCATGAGGACGTTAATATTGCAGCACATTTCCTCAAACTCATCGGAAAAGAAGCATATATTTTATTAAAAACACTGGCTTTACCTAATCAATTAACTTATCAGATTTCTCATGTTATTGTACCGAATATGGCTTTTCCTAATGATTCACATATTTCTGATGAAATTTCTTAAAAATCTGAGGAAAATATTTTAAATGAACCTAGACATGATCAAAAGCCTGAGGCAGTCTTGATAGATGCTAACTTTTCTGATGATCCATTGCTCTGCAATGACATTCTTAATAAGTTTCATGTAAATATTTCAGAAGAATCAAATCCTGATGTCATATCATATATTATCTATCCTCATAATGCATTTGCTCCTTGTGAAAAACTTGTTCAATGAGAAGCACGAGTACTAAATGAGCTCGACCTTGATTACAATTCTGATAATTTCATATCAACTGCTGTTCATTTCTACCACAAATCCACTTCCAATGTATACTTTAATCAATGTGAGAAATATGTTTTACATGAAGCCACATCATTCATAGCTTAAGGATATTAAGATCCAACATTATTTCGTGGGGGAGGATAGTGTTGTGAAACCTGTGCTTTAAATTCTAGATAGTGGTTTCGGCACACAACCGACACGGTGATTGTATACAATCCCAAGAATTAAGTGAGTATGTTCCTATTACGGTTGTTAATTTCAATACAAATGAGCACATTCTAGATAATACAGAGTTTTTATCCAATAAAATGTCGGACAGACACAGGATGAGCTTAAGAAGACGTACAATCGATTACAGAAACTTATACTCCTATGTAAGCTGTGGCGGATGTGGTATTCGAATGAACTGATGATTCTTTTGTACTTGTTGAATGCTTCATTTCGAATTCCAAATACAGTATTTTCAGTTGTGGTTAGCTAGTACTTCTTGATCCTATTACGTTATTTTTGGGATTCTTAGCTTTTAGTATAATTCGAACACTGCTAATCATCATAATCACTTTGGGATCGCTTTGGCTGTCTTGATCATCTGCTATCTTCCCAGTCGCTTTGACTACGATATACATGCTCCATTTAACTTGCAAACACAGGACTTGTAGATAAGTTACTGGATCCACGCGACGTTTTGAATGTATTTGTTTTGCTCAACTTCTAACTTTGTTTATTAATATCTTTGAACTCGAACATTTGATTCCACTTTGTGATTAGTTTGGTATTTTGAAGTTTTGCTCTTAAGGCCTAAAAATGTGCAAGTTTGTTTCATAGTTGTTAAAACGTAATCTGCCGAAATGTTATATTATCTACATCCTACTCAATTTGGCACAAATCGCTCACACCCTTCATGGAAATGAGCTCCAAACTATCTCCTCAGAGCCTGTTTACGGGCTTGTAACCATGAAGAGCTTGGACACCAGCTCAAACTAGATGGGGGGCGCAGCCGACGCAATCACAACTCATCACTTTATGCTTGGAAAACTTGGCGGATCAACCTGAGGTTGTTTGCATCATCTCTCCTCAAAATAGGGGTAAATCTCTTGGACCAAGTACAGAAACAGTCAATAAGGTAGTTTATGATGTCAAAGAACAAGTCCAACGAAGACAGACCAAAACACATATGTTCCTTCTTGTTTGGCTACAAGAGAATAAGATATGATCTAGTAATGACATACAAAATGTTAAGTTTGTCAAGTTACCTCAACATGAGCATCCTGCCGGGTTATATACACCCCAACGTTTTCTCGTAAAGCGCTGCTCACAGCTTAAGTGCTCGGACAGTCGATGTGATAACATCCTCCCTGGTGAAAAGATTTAAAATGAAACTTCATAAACGCATATTCACCCATAGATTAAAGTCTTCCTCTAGGACTAGCTTTGTCCAATACGTGTCGTATAAATTGCGTCGTTTATCATTACAGCTGTATCGGTGAATAGATCCCCAAAATCAATCGAGCGGGTACGCCGCGCTACACATCTCCTACAACTGCTTACGGGCTTGGACTAATAACTTCTCAATACATCGATATTCTATTAAATATACCTTCGAACTCATTCACTTCTGACTCCTGATTTGACCTAGCTTGTACATTTCTATTATAAGGGGTGTTACTGGTTAATGTGTTGTCAAACTCCGATAAAGGGAACTTTGTGTATGAAAACTCCGAATACTTGAGACATATTACAGCATTTCAGTAACTACTTCTTATGTTTCCCATTATCACTTTCATTTTCTATCTAAGTCCCTCAACTCCACCTTCTCACACATTACCAATTAACTGTCTTACTCATTATTCTTGGAATTATCGTTTTCTCTCAGAACTCGAATTATCACTTCATCTCACATTGCAACCAACCAATCTCCTACCTGGCAATGTGATAGCTGCTAGTATCCAGAATTTATATTGCCTTGAGATGAGCGCATTAACTCAAACTACAATACGTACAAATCCACAAATAGCTATCAAACTGACAATAATTTGCGAATTTGAGTGGTGAGACTGTCACCCATTAGACATTACGAATCAAACAAAACCTTACCGAAACAACAAGAGGATAGCGTCAAAAAGTAGTTGGTTTATACAAGCTCGTGACAAAGACATTGGATTAATTGCTGGATTTTGCACTGGAAATGAAATCATGCAGAAAGTCTGGGCACTTTAAGTGTTAACGCAACCTTGTGAGTTGATTTTTCATCCTACCACATATTACGGTACTTTAACGAAAATTTCCAGTGCATTATAGGCTAAATAAAATAGTACCTAGTTAAAAATGGCACATAATAGGAATTTCATGGAATAAACGGATTAATAGTTGCGATATATAGTAACTACTTATTGAAGGCCGTACGTAAATTACAGTTTCGCCGAATTGTTTATGCTAGTAAACGTGGAAATTTCAGAGTCAAAGTGTACGACTAAGAAACCAGATTTCAATGTTTAAAGTTTCATATTTTTCAGGTAATTCACAAAACTTGTCAGTCTTATGTACATTATAAATATATTTCTTTCCACCTTTTCATTGGTAGATTAACTACTCCCTAATTAAACTCAATTTTACCTAAAGTTCATTGAAACTCTTCAGTTTACTTACTAGTCACTTACGTTACTCCTATTTGGCGTTAAATTTCAAAAGAAGTTGAGATCAGCAACAAAATGTTCTGATATGTAACAGTAGAGAATTTAAATCATTTTCCACTTGAGAGAGAAGTCCATGTTTAAGCGGTATAGTCTTTGTTTCGTACCTTCTGAAAACGTCATACCATCAGTCTTTGGAGTGGAAAGTGATCAGATGTTTGGTTTTGGGCTACCGAAACGCTTTTATCTCTGGGATTCTTCTGCCCTGATAATATCAAGCAAGCAAACGCTTTCTTTACGGGTTCTGTCGAAGACTCATAGGATAGTGCTACTTCATTTGCTTAATCCTCATTCCCAGTTCATTTCATCTACTCACTCAACTAGCGGTATAACTCGAGTCCTGGTTATAGTCTATATCTGGTCTGTTGAATGGAATGCAAGTAACAAAAGAATAAAGTGTTAACCACAGTAACTTCTTCAGTAGAACGCCTATAAGTTCAACAAAATGGTCGTATTTGTAAAGGTTTTGGTTTCCTTGTTGTATACGTCAAGGGCTAATTGACATCTTTTAGCTTATATCAACCTCGGGCGGACTGACTTGATATTGCATTTTAATTTCGATTGATCGGTATCGTGATGATACAAATCGTTACAGTTACTGGCCATTTATACTCAGTGGGTAACGCGTTATTGTTTAAAGTCAGTGTCGAAAGATCCTGTTATTTTGGTCGTCACAGTCATTTATGTACGGACAAATGATATTTCATTTCCACTTAACTAAGTTATTCGTCTATAATTACCGTTATGCTAGCAGTCTAAAGTATAGTTTCACTTGGCAGGGGCTAGTCACGTCAAAATATGGTTCAGTCAGATGAAAATCATATGCTTCTGTTTACTGATAACTTTATTCCTTGCCGAAAACCGAATCCGAAACCAGGATGCTTATTTTCTGTTTTTGAAGTTCCCTTCTAAATTCAAGGTTGTCTGTACGTTAAGTGCCGTTAGTGACGGAGTTTTAGTAGATTCGAAATACGATTTCTAGTTAACTAGTGGCCACATTTCAACTTGGTCAATAGAATCCAACCTGAACTAAGAAGGACGTGAAACATATGACATCGGTCACTAACCAATGATCAATCAATTGTAAATACATTTCATTTCTACAGCAGGTCAGATACGGGTCGGATAGCTCAGTAGTAACGTCTCTGACGATGAAGCTGGGTAACAAGGCATAGAATCTTCCGGGTAGCATCGGTTCTCCCAAGATTACAGGTACACCTTACTGATGCGTGCCAAACAGCGCAAAACGTAGGTTTAGGATTTCCTATCCATTACTTCCCATCATCACATTGCGGTCCAGAATGCCAGATTACGTTGGGACTATAGAAATAGAAACGAGAATGAAGAATGTTTGGTGACAGAAGTTTCACTTAAAATATCCGCCAATTATGTCCTGGTATTACAATGTCAGTCAGTCAGTCAGTCAGCTACAACGTAGGACCAGGCACATATGTGCATCGGTCCAGGTTGCCATACCTCATTAGCACAACAAGATGAACACCGGATTCATAGGAGTGGATAGGTCAAAGGTTGCAATAAGGATATAGTATAGGAAGGAAGAATTAGTTCGTAGAAAGAAAGATATGAAGTGATTTTAATCTCTTAGTTTAAGGGAAGACAAAGAGTGTATACACCGACGCCATTGTGATCGATTCTGAGCCATGTCACCAAGAGTCTCCAACCATTGGTTACGAAAGTCACGCGGACCCCAACCAAGTAGTCTGCATCTACCAACATGGCTAAGACTAGAAGTTAGTGACTTCAAGCACTGATGCCACGTTTTGGTTTGGCCGCCCCTAACTTTCTTCCAACCATCCCCTACACCGGTTAGCATTGCAGGGGATGGTCAGTGTGAATATACCGCTTATATTCTTTAACACTATTCACTCGTACGTTATTTCGATCCCAATTTTCAGTTTTGAGTGTATTGGTCTTTTATTGTCCAAATGTTCATGTATTTAGACCACCTTTTGCTTTATTTTAATCAATGTAGGTTTTCTCAAACAATGTCATCAAACACAGAAAGCCCTCCCAATCAATCTCCAAAAATAATTTTGGACAGCGAAGGAAAACCTCTTAAACCCTGTTGTGCATGTCCAGAAACACGTCTCAAGCGTGATCAGTGCGTTCTAATGTATGGCGAGGAAATGTGTGCAGATGTGATCATGGAGCATAAAGAATGTTTGAGAAAACTTGGTTTTGCTGTGTAATGTAATCAGATCTCTTAAAATATAATTAGCTCATCATTTCTTCTTTCTGATCGCTGGTTCTTGTTTATCGTTACTAACTACTTTTTATTTTAGGATTCTTCTGATCAAAAGCCCACAGCTCGATTCCGTGTTACGGGTTCAATGCTTCCTAATTTAGTAGGTCGCGATGTATGTATAGTTGGGACTGCTCTTCGTGTTGCCCCTTCAGGACAAAGAATACATATACGCTGCGCAGATGGGCGGGAAATCGATTGCAATCTCCTCTCGCCTCTTCAGGTATTCGTATGTCATTTTGAAAATAATGCTTCTTAAAAACTGAGTCCGTACATTTAAATCCTACTGATGGTTAGCTTTTGTAGTTTAGCTTTTACGGTGGTATTTTGACAAAGTAAGTACCCGTTGATTTCACGGACCGAATATGTGCAATTAATGGGTTACTATTGTCTGACACACTAATTTACCACCTCTACATGGGATCCTATATCGTAGTGTTACATTGTGTTTCTTCGATACATAAACACTGGCCTTATTTCACAACCAGCTTGTTAGTTAGTTAATAATAAATAATAACTCATGTGATATTGTTTTTGGTTTTTTTAATTTATTGTTTATCTGGATCAAACTAATTGACTGATTTATTCATTGTATGCATGATGATGAACAATCTTGTTCACTGCATCCACTCTTTCTTATCAAATCCAGTTTTTTCACCTTTTGGAAGTGAAATTATCGTAAAGAAACATTTATTTGCCTGATTGATCCGGTCTCAGTAGCGTATTTTAATGCATAAAAACTGTTTTAGTGATCCTATTGAACAAAAAGTCTATTACACTTGTTAGAACTGGGGTAGTATACCATAGCACAGTTCCATGTTTGTTTGATTCGATGTACACTAACATGAAATGCTGTTTACAGTGTAATACTTCAGATGTAATGCATTGTTTATACTCATACAGATGTGTCCACACGTCTTATATTGCCACGCATCTATGTAGAGGCGCTAAATTTGTTTATATGGTATTTAAATACATGCACACATTGAATCATGATATATGACTATTATCTCCTTCAAATAGAAGAACTCATACTAAGTAAACAAATCTTCTGGATTGAACCAATTTTGATTATCTTGTTTCTTATTCTCATTTTCTCGTTCTGTTATCATCACTTCACAGTTATTTAATATGCTGATTACTTAACCTATTTTTCACTATCAAAAATATCAGGTAACCAATTTTTCAATCCTAAATAGTAAGTTCGTTTTCTGTTGCCTTCTGTTCGAAGATTAAGTCACTATAATAATAATCGGTCAGCATCACAGATTAAATATGCCTTATGTGATTAGTTGCACTGTACAAGTTCCCGAATATATATATATATATATATATATATATATATATATATATATATATATATATTAGTTAATTGCAACTATTGTTAATAAATGTTCATAAATCCTTTCATTATGGTCAATATGACTTGTTTGAGGTAATTGAAAATCATATGTCATCCTTTACTTTTGAATTTTTGTTCTTGTATAGGCTTCTCCAGAAAATCGAGTTATAGAAGTGCAAGGTCGCGTAAGCAATGTGCAAGGTACAGAAATCAATGCTACAGCGGAACCGGTCGTTTTCTCCCAGGAAGCAAGTACAAAGTTTGACAGCGATTTATATTCACAAGCTATCCAAATGACAGCTCAGTTCGATCAGTTTTACATTCAACCAATGGAAGCATAATTCGTATTCGTCAGTTATCGAACAATAATGCAAATTACATCAGATGTTTAATGTTATTGTATGCAAATAAAAATAAAAAGTTTTATCCAAGTTTTTGTTTTACTGACCTAATGCTTGTGATTAGTAGACCTGAAGGACTATCTTTATTTACTCGATCATTTTAAGGAATTTTATTTATTGTACTTTATGTTAAACAATTTTAACTGAACACTAATTCTAATCGTCTATTAGTTCAATGTGTTGAAGGCTGAATATGTGCACTATTCAGTCTTTTGTATAAAAATAACATTAAGCAGTTATTTATTTGTTCCATCTTTATTGGTCAACTTAACTTTTGCGTCTCAGAAAAATAAGTGAGTATAATAGTAATAGTTATGAACCAGTATATTATAACAACAATTTTAATTATGACAGTATGTAACTGTCCACATACTTGTAAGGTTCATTTCGTTCGAAGCGATTAATAAACAACTATTCGATCACATGGAAGTGGGGAAGACAAGAACTAACCTACCAAAAGTGATGTATTGTGTTTATTTTACTTTTTAGCAAATTTTTCCCATTGTGTTCGAATACTCGAAAAAATTAAGAGGCGTGAAACATTCGTGTTATTTCATACATATATGCCCTAGAAATTTTCGTGTTTGAAAACAAGAAGTTACTCAGTTATAGTAATATGTATATTTAAAAAAAGCAAATCTATACTCAATGAACATTAACTGCTGAATTATCCAATAAAATTGTAACTAGTGATAATCTCTTTGATCTTCACGTTTCTTCTAATATCACATTTGATACCCATACCAAGTATGTCAGTATTTTGGCCAGAACCTTTAAGGCAGGTGGGACTGAGATAAAGATTTCAATCCCACGTTCCACCTCATCAGTATTCAGAAGTCTAAATATACCATTGAAATCATGGACTGACCTTAGCTAGACCACCATTGTAAACCTAGAAGCGCTAAATGGCCGTCTCGTCCTGGCATGGGGCTCTTCAGGAGTGCACATCTACTACCCCGCGAGGTGAAATCAAACTCACTAATCCCCATACTAAAAGGAAAGTTATCTAATGGTTCCAGGTTTTCAGTAATAGTCTAGCTTGGATCGGTCAATGATTTAAATTCAATTAAACAATCCCCATACTTGGTCGGAAGCTTCTATAAAATCAACCACTCACAAATTGTATACTGGGTACTTTAACTGTTTGGTTTCGATTTTTCATTAGCTCATATGGGAATTTTCTAGTCCTATAAACTTGATATCAATTATGTTAAACAGTTACCACATTTGGAATTGATGTCATCTCCGTAGAAATTCTTCCATCTGATTCTCCACGTTTTTTGTTACAATATTATGCATTACTGCATACAAGCATGCAGCCACTGTTCTGGAGTTGAGAAGTATCTCTTCATATGTTTGATTTTCAAATGACAAATAACTGATGGAAGCACGTCTTTGTTCATTTAGCGAACCGAAAAAGACAAATTTCTATCAGGACCGACCTATAGAGTACCAATAACTTTTTTCATCTCAATTTAATTCACGGGCAAATGACACATCCATACTATGAGTTAACTTTATCAATTCAATTTATGAACTAGACTGAGTCACTCGTCAATTATCGATATCACTTGCAGTCTTACATCCTTCTACCTGTTAACATCTTCCTCTTATCGCTTTTGTTTTACAGACTAAATAGAAGTTAGTTATTTAGAATGCCGAGTCTGATAACTGGTAAGTACAAATATAAGGTTTGAAGGTGTCGTAATGTTACTGTTACCATAGAATAAATATTTTGTGTAAGCACGCCTCTTTTAGACAATAGATTAATGTTTATCAACGCATAATAAATTAGAGTTGCTTTGATCTCTTATGATTTTAATAAGTAGGGTTGTTTCATTATTAACTATTAGATTGAATCTGTCGTTAATTTCTTCAAGATTATTTTGACTTGAGTATTTTTCCACGTTTTGTGTCATCTTTTAAATAGAAATATATTGTTCCAAACCAAAGTCAGCTAATGGTTTTATCGAAACTTACCTAATCGGAGCTCAGTTAGAGTTCATTTTTGGCATGGTACAAGGCCTTTACTAGAGAAAATAACGCTATGAGATTACCAGTTATATATATCTACGACCCCTGCTGTCGTTAATAGTCACATTTCATCGTTTTCAACTAGACAACGCTGATATGTTGTACACTTGACATTTGTTAAATGCATATATACCTTGTTTCGTTGTTCGTATCCATTTACAAATACCAACTAATCTCACTACACCCAAGATTTGATTTATTTTCTGACACATCTGCTTAGATAAAAATGGCTGATCAAGCAGGTAAAATGATTAAGAACTTGCGTTTCTTACATTTATTCGCACATTATAAGTTTATACTGACCTGGAAACATTTATTTATACGGTGTACAAATAATTATTACCGTTTTCTCAACTTTTATTTCACTTTGTATTATCTCTGAATGTCATTTAAATCTAACAGAAACCTGATGCAAATAAAAATGCTTCTCAGTACTAAAAATAAACGGAATGTTTCACTGCTATATGTGTTTCAACATACCTAAAGTCAACGTCCTATGATTTGTTGTTTTTCACGTCAGCTGATGTAAACTCTTAAGTCTGTTATAAAAACACTAATTTACGATTGGTTTATTGACAGTAATCTGTGTGTTGATTGTTCTGTGCAAGATTATTCGTTGCCTCTTGTTAAGCCAATCAGAACGGAGTGACCTTCAGGGTATGATTACATTTTAGTTCACGGTTAGTAGATAACAGACTAGTGAGTGATCCGGTGTTATCTGTCCGGTGCATTATAATGTGTTTTGGCGAGCACCATTTTTGATGTGAACACCTATGTCAACCTACATATTTATCTCTGATATTGGATCATTTACTCAAATATGCTTATTCGGTTAGTTATTTTATATTAAAAAGTAGTCTTTTTAATCGCATAGTTATGTAATTAATAGCGTAAGTAATTTACAGTAATTTTTAGCAATTACTTTAAGGAATTGATGATTTCATAAGTTTAACAAGGTTAAAATAACCTAGAGTTCTGTTTGATTTATCACTGTATGGTTTTAGATTAATTTCTACAAAAAACGGTATAAAATAGTGTATAAAGTTATTTTCTTTTAAATTATTTCTTCCTCCCTCATAATTAATTTTTTTCTTTACGTTAACAGCAGTTAAAGCAACATCAACATTATGTATAATATGGAGGTAAGAAATGTATTTATTGTTAATAATCATTTCTTTACTATTCTACTTTATCACTGGTCATTATAGTGTGGACTTGTTATATCTGTTAAGTTGTTTTAGTTTTGAAATTAGTCGTTGCAATTGACATAACTATTAAGTTATTATGAGAACAATTGGAATCAGAATCATGCTTCTTAGGTTGTGTCCTTTTTCTACGTTAAAACATTGAAGTTCTGACTAGCATATTCCTTTTGACAAAAGAAGTGGCATGATTTTGTAGGTAGATTTTTTCTTAATTGTCAGTAAAAACATCGGGCGACCTAATTCATGTGTATGTATTCTTTAGCCGTTACAAATTTCAGAACATAACTGAAGTGACTTGAAAAAATGCTAACAATTTTAATTGTGAATAATGTCGTTACATCGACATCAAGCACAAAATACGATTTAATTTTCCACCGAAACTCGTTGCGTAGTATGAGATTCATAATAGTATTTTTAACATTTTTTATTTGACAAAAATTGTCAGGGATTGAATTTATGGGTGTTTAATGTCCTTGTCATATTTTCTTGAATATGACACAAAATATGTGGATAACCTTAAAGTTGATGCGTATTTATATGTCGAAAGGTAGTAATTCAGAGTTAAATGGGTAATGTTGTAGTTACTAGTATTCATAATGGAGATAACAGGGGATTACATAAGCGTAATGAAAAACAGTTACATACTTAATAAACATGATTAAAAACAATCAAATAATTATGCGAACAATAAAAGGATTATTTAATAAACACTGAATTACTATAGAAGAGAAGGGTTTATCACACTTTCGTTCTGTACACATAAATTAGGTCGGGAACGCCTTAATAACGATTGTCGACACAAAATGGAATAAAGTTAGTGTTGGTTGTCTGTGAGTTGTTTTCGATGTACTACGCATATCCACTTTATGTCCTTTGTCGAGAAGACACCCGGTAATTGCACTTGTAAATATTTTACTACCTCTCAGATACCGAATCATAGGGACATGTTCAGACAATCTAGCAGAAACCTTTTTCTCTGTCATTCCTATATACTTGTTACCTCAGGTACATGTCAATACACAGATCCAATTGAATGTGATATCGGAAGCATATTAGCCTACATTTTAATGGTATATTGAACATTTGGTATTCTATATTAAGACCGATTCGGCCAAAGAAAAGCATCTTTTCAGTCCTGCTTTGATTCAATTGTTTTCCACGTTGTTTTGGGGATACTGCCTTATGAACATATAACGTGACTCAATCGTACTAATTTATTTACACTTTTTTGTGTAGAGTGAAAAAAATAAAATTTTCCTTTTTTTAATTTTATCAAACTCTTGAAACCAATAATCCGTTCAGACGTTGAGTTGAGTGACACAAAATCGTAAATCTAACTTACCTCCCACGTTCAATGTAATTTGTATTAATGGAAATAAAACCACTGTACCTGTGTTCTTTTTTTTTAACTTGCAGTGCATATGTATTTGCAAAAACACGATTGTTTTCCAGACGAGATTCGGACATTCATAATACTATTGCTAATAAGAAAAGGAAGTATGAACATTGTGATGAATCAGAAATTTCTACACCTTATGACAATTATTCTTCGGAACAAAATTTAGTGAGGTTTCTTTTAACTTGTATATCATTTACATGTGGAAATTTTTCTATTATGTAATAACATAAATTTCGTCCAGCTATTGTTTTAACGCTGTGATCGGGTTTGAACCCTATTGAATTAAGACGTGATCCTTCAGATTTTACCACACTATGCAGGTTGGTTGGAGAGCTGTAAATATATAATGAAGTATTGAGGATGTTCACGCTTAACAATAATTCATTCTGGCTAATTCCCCAGATTTCCGGTGCTCATTGTGAAATTTTGGATGCAAATATGTTTTTGATACCGAAAAGTTAGTCACTAGGATGCATGTTTATGTTTTCAGGCCGATGAGACCAATAATACTAGTTCAATTTTCCTCTCAGGATACCTAAAGTAGATATATGTTTTTGCAATACGAGGGAAGTAAAGGTGTCGACTGATCACACACCTTCAGCACCGCTAATATTTACCTTTCTATTCATCACCGAGTTGTATTTAACATGTGAATCCATGGTTTGTACGAAAATTCTGTTGTCATACCCACAAGGAAATCTAGTTAACTAATATTATTGTCTAAGATATTTATTCATCAGAATCGTAATTACTGGGGTTTAATAATACAATCACCAGTGGTTCGACTAGAAAGATCAGGTCCGAATTCTATGTTGATCTTTCATTGATTTCAAAACAATCAAATTGTATTCAACGTCTTTTTTAAACTTGTATTATCTCTCATCATCAAATTGGGTGAAACAACTTACAGCGATCTACAATTTGCGCAATAGCCTTTGTTCTGTGTGACTGGGTGATTGAACTTTAAATTTCATCCATTCATAATATCAAAAATAACTACGGGAAACAACATAATTTTATTAATTGTGAACTTCATTAATTTTATTAATGTCAGCAAAACTTATTTTTGTTTGAAGAGTGATTATATAACATGTTGTATTTCACTGTCATTGGAAGTGGTCACTAAAAGTGATCAATATAATGTTTGGCTCAAATGTTTTGGTCATCGATTTTATAATTGTGCAGATATTAAAATGGATGATTTTGCTTTCAGATAAGTGATAACCAATTTCTTTGAACTATATCATCAGGTCATTAGTGTTATGATTTCATGTATTTTGACTAGTATATGATATATATTTAATTAATTCCTGTTTTTCTCTAAATCTTGTTCTTCACTCCCTCCCCCAACTTCTGTCGATACGGGATAGCCATCTTTATCAATTTTGAAGGGTAGTGTCATAATTCGCAATAGTATGAATGCACTGTACAATTTAATTCATCATGTAAAGCATAATAGTGATGATAATGTTGCTACTGCTGTGTCTACAGACGTTGACGATGTCACTTCAACAAATCCATGTAGTGAATTCAATAAAATCACTCATTCAGATGAATTGGGTTTATTTTATAAAATGATATGTGATTTAAGTGTCAAGGTAATTACTACTGTTCATTGTTATTGCTATCATTATTATTACTATTACTATTATTATAACTTTAGTACTGTGATTTATTTGTTCACATGCTAAGTGACTTATGATGATTCGCTCTTAAAAAAGTAGAAATTTCATTTTCGGAAATTGTTTGTTTGAAACAACTTGAATGATCTGTTTGTTTAAAATGAAAAAAATAAGTGAGATTGTGGTCCTAATATGAACGTCAGTACATGTTGGGTTCTAGGTACATGGAGCTGACCAGTAGTAAATATAGCTATAGATATATCCTATATACCACCACTGCTAGCTATAATTAATCTATTCTATGTAAATCATGGTATATGTCTATTTTTTTCATCAACATACAAGGAATTACTGTTCACATACTACTGTTTATTTTATACATTGTAAACTGTAAGTTGCTTTGGTCAATCCAGGCAAAATATAGTTAAAATTTATAATCTCACATTGGATTGTTCAAAGACGACTATTATTTTTAGACCATAGTTTCTAATATTTCATGTGAATAAATTTCTGTTATAATAATCACTTATATACTTGAATTAATTCGCCACTGAACCACTTGATTTTCACTTTACAGTTATATCGATAAACTTCATATATAAAGACATCTTGAGTATGTAAATGATTGCTGCAATGCATTCATTGTTCCTGTTTGACAAAAACTGGTTCCTTCTTAAAACCTAGATTTGTCAAGTTCCCAGCTAGAAATTTAGTTTTGTACAATCCATCACTTGCATTCACAAATATACAGCCAAAATATATTTCTTTGAAGGAGATACTTTTCAATGATTTGGGAAATTCTTTCTAATGCCTTCAACATATTTTTGACATTCCATTCTGAATCGGTAGAACAAACATCTCTCTGGTGTTAACATTTGTATTTGAGTTTTCTTCTCATTATTAGTGTTTAGATTTAGTCATTGATAATCTCATCAATAAATTGCTTAAGAAAAACGAAGGAAGTCTATTGATTCATTAAGAAGAGTGATGTTTGAGAGAAAAGTTTCCTTTCGACGGTGTTATTTTCTGAAGCTATAAACTCGTATTTATACGTGATTATTTTTACATGTAGTAGTCTAGTAAAATAGAGGAGATTTGCAAAATTATCTAAGGTAGTCAAGCCTATTCAAGTGAAAGTCAGTGAAAATGAAGTGATTTTGCATAGTATAGTCAAGATTATCAAGACCTCAAGTATTAAATATAATATAATATAATATACAGTATAATTAAGTTTTTCGATTACTGAGTAAAAAAGGTTGCATCATTCAGTAAAGTAATCAAAAATCACCAAAAGCTTACATCATGCTATAGTTTCTGAAGTCATAAGAAGTAATAATCTATTGAATAAATGCTAGTGACAGCTGTCTACTTAAAAAAGAATGTAATAAATTATCATTTGCAGTTCGTAAAATTCGAACGGGCGTTAAGACCATAGGTGAATAAAGGATTGAACATGACTTTTCACTTCAAGATAGATAAATCGATTGATACATTAAAATACCATACCCCTGAAATGTCATAGTACTTACAGCGTAGTGTTTTTGTTCACTCACAATGTAAGTGTATTTAAACATCGACTGAAATGAATGAAAATTATTGTTATCAGTAGAAGGAGATTTGACTGCACAGAATTTAATGACTTTCGTATATTTTCTTTACTGATAAAGTTCTGACGTCGCTCAATGTCTGAATTAGACGTTTTTTTAACATATGACTATATATTTCTCCTGTTATTAGATTTGCACCATATCTGTTACATTGAATTTTACTGCTTAATCATTTTAGGCTGGAATTACTACCAGTAATATTTACAGTACTCCTCGTAAACGAAGTCGTTTATTGTCTTTCAGCAAAGATCCAAAACTCACTACAGACTTTATATTACATCTTTTGATTTCGTACAGCAAGGTAAGCTCTTGATAAGATGTATTTATTTTTGGTGCAGCTTATTCATATTTTGAAAATTCGTTTCTCCGTAGTCTTAACTCCGTTACTTCTACAGAATGAATGGTGATAGATGACTTTTACATCAGTGAGTGGATTCTTTCGATGGAGTGGTTTCAGCATTAGAATTCCAACTGCCAATATGTATCTAGCCCCAGTGCAATACTTGGCTATTGAGCATTACGTAACGGAGGTGGTCGTTGCTATTTCGTCATAGTAATTTTTAAACCATGATAATGTCTGATAAGCTTGATTGTTCTAGTTTTTATTATTTGGAAGAAAATTATATTTTTTCGAGCGTATCCTAAATTTACTATATTACAAACATATGCTTCCCAGCTTATTTCTCATTTCTCTATGATACCATACACCATGTGATCTTAACGGTGACATCATTGCCTGATGGGAGCTAGTCCGAAGAGTCATCATTACGTTAACATAGGCGTATTCATTTAGTTTTTGCATAACAATCCTTTTTATGTATATTAGGGATGTGGAAACACCAGATACAACCTATGAGGAAGAAGAACAATATCGATTTCAGGTGAAAGTAAGGTCAACTTTGAACACATTTTCGTCACATTATTTCAGTGAATTTTCACAATGATTTATTTTTACTGACTATTATTCAGTTCATAAATCATAATTAATATATAACCCATTAACTTAGATGTATTTTCAATTATACTGGGATCACCACCAACAAAGCTTCTGTTAAGAAACCGAACTTATTACTCTAGTTAGCGGGACAGGGGAAAAGGGAATAACGATGTTGTCGTTCACGTTATTGAAGTCGCAGTTGAAAATTAGTTGTCTACTACAAGAACCTGGGGTTGAAGTACCTCCAGCTGACAAGTCCCAGATAGGACGAAACGTGCGTCCTAGATTTTACTGTTAGCTACATTCCATCTATTCTACATTTATATATCACTTGATTTTTTTTATTAGATTGTTAACATTGTCAATATTGAGTCATTGAGCTGTCTCGATAATAATTAAATTCCTTCGCTATCCTGAAATCAGATATAGTTTCAGCAGAAAAAGAAAACAAAACTATTGACGTCAGTTGTATATGTTGTTGTTACAGTTCAATCTTTCTATTTACCACCTGTTCTTTATGTATAGTTTTAGCCTAGAGATATCGATTCTTTGTCGTCATTTCTATTCATTCATGTTTACTTGAGTTTGTGCTTTTGAAACACTATTTGAATAAATTACATATCACAAAGTCATTTGAATAATTCTTGTTATATATATTTTAAAGTCGTTATTTTATCTTATAGTTCACAATCTCACGTCGTTTTCACAACATTGAATTCCCTTTTATTCCGTTTTCTTTTAATTTTTGTAATCATTTAAGGATCTTAGGTATTTGGATCACTTATTCCAATGTGAAAATTTTGAACGTCTAATCAATTGGCTTAGTTCAATCAGTCTTTCAGCATTAAACAATTCAGATAACAATAATACACTACTTATTGATAAACATCATTCTTCACCATCAGTAAATCAACTCTTATTTAATGTCGATCAATGGACAAATGAATCATATTATTGTGATGATAATAATAGTAATACGGATTCATCATTTGCAAAAGTAAATAACTTGCCTGATGTTCATCTAGAATATCCTATTCATCTTTTAGTCGCTAATTTTTTAGCAAACATCTCGCAGCATCCATCAAGTTCCGTTTTAAACAATTATGAAGGTAAATGAAATATCATTTTAGTGTGTTTTCTTCCATTTGTTGTTACCCAATAAGGTTTATTTATTTTGAAGATTAAGTTCGTCACAAAATAATATCATCTAGAGAGAATGAATGAGAGAATGTCAGGTAACAGCACTGAACAGTTTTCATTGTCATAATTTGGGACATTACAGCATTACACACAATTCTCTGTTTTGTAAATTACAATATCTATGTAGTGTCAGTCAGCTACGACGTAGGACCAGGCACATATATGCATCGGTCCAAGTTGCCATACCTCATTAACATAACAAGATGGACACCGGATTCATAAAAGTAGTTAATTCAAAGGTGGTAATATATAAAAGAAAGATTGCAATAAGGATATAGTACAGGAAGAAAGAATTAGTTCGTAGAAAGAAAGATATGAAGCGATTTCAATCTCTTAGTTTAAGGGAAGACAGAGTGTATACATCGACACCATTGTGATCGATTCCGAGCCATGTCACCAAGAGTCTCCAACCACTGGTTACGATAGTCACACAGACCCCAACCAAGTAGTCTGCATCTCCCAACATGGCTCAGACTACAAGTTAGTGACTTCAAGCACTGATGCCACATTTGGTTTGGCCGCCCCCAACCTTCTTCCAACCATCCCGAACACCGGTTAGCACTGCACGTCGTGGTAATCGGTGTTCGGGCATACGTAACACGTGGTCCAACCATCTCAGTCGATGAAGATTCACAACCTCATCAACTGATTTACCATCATTCCCTAATACCCTACGTTGAACCTCACTATTGCTTACCCGGTGATCCCAGCAGACGCCAGCAATATTTCTAAGGCATCTATGGTCAAATACTTGTAGCTTACGAGTGTCTTCTACTCTTAAAGGCCATGTTTCGCTGCCGTAAAGTAGAACAGAACGGACTGCCGCGCAGTATACTCGTTTTTTTATTGATAGACGGATATCTCACCTTCGCCATAGGTGACGCAAGTTGGCAAAAGCCAAACGAGCTTTTCGAATCCGTGCTGAGATTTCGTCAGACACCAACCCATTAAAGCTGATCAGACTTCCAAGATAAGTGAAGTTGTCGACGTGTTCGACCACTTCACTCCCTATCATTAGTTTAGGTGTTGACTCAGACCAGTCCTGAAGCAACAACTTGCATTTAGAGGGGGAGAAGCGCATTCCAAACATTCTGGCATTGTTGCTTAGTGCTACCAAAAGACTGCATTTTATCGGCGTCTTCACCAAACAGGACTATATCATCTGCGTATTCCAAGTCGTTAAGTGGACCTCCTGGAAGGAGGTCAATACCCGAGAATTCAGTCGACGATAATGTTATTTCCATCAGTATGTCTATGATGAAGTTAAACAAAAATGGAGAAAGTGGACAACCTTGACGGACACCACTTGAGGTTACAAAAGCAGATGACAGTATCTACGTAGTGTTCATTGGTTGTATATCGGTTTTTAGCTTTAAGTCACAATATACAAATGGTTTCCTCAAAATCATCCAACCTTAACAAAGCTTACTGTTGTTTTAAAGATTTTTAACGAAAATTAAGTAATGGTGAACATTTTAGTGTTGTTACTTTTTGTATACAAGTAGGTCAACTATTTAAGTGAACAACCTTGAAATCGTGGTAGTTTATCTTACAATCGAATCGATTTAAGTGAAGAATAACCTTTGTGCTAAGTTATATTGATCAATCGACAGTGATTGTTTACCTTAAGTCCAATGTTTATGCGTCACACAATCAGTTATGATTATAATTCATAAATACACAGAGTAAATACAAGTATTTTTTTCATTGGCTTGTTTTCTCACAGTTTTGAATATTAAATGTGAATTTCTATTTTAATGTACATAATGTTTTGTTTTCGATTTTCTCATAAAAAATTGTCAGTTATCTACCCAGTTAAGGATTGTGTTTTGTGAGGAAGAACAATCACTCAATTCGATTAGAGAATATGCACATGTTTACTTTGCTAAAATCTTTTTATTGTCCAGCAATACCCTTTACATTTCGTCTATCTTTAAATCTGTATACCTAAGTGAAATATTTCTTTATTGTAAAATTGTAGGGACATTTTCCATGGTCTTCCTATTGTACTTGATAAAAACTTGTTAGCCCTGGTACGGCCGAGAGTGGGGTGAGTCCGCTCTCCCTCTCGAAATACTCTCACACGGCCGCGCGTATACAGCCTCTGCCAGGGAAGTCCTACTCATTGCCTTCTCGTGGCGGGGGTGTTGTTTACGAAAATGAGAGGACGAAAAGCGAATGTCCGGCGCTTTAACCGGATTCCAAATCAATGGTGCACATGGGCTCCAGTATCCTGAGGCAACAAATGGCGTATGAACCAATCTTTGCTCACCTGCTACCATGGGATTGCATCTCCTTACGATGCTCCACTGCCTTGTGGGTTAGATCTTTAGGTCAAAGGCTCGGGGAGTGGCCCCCTAAGATAACCACCTGCTTCGGTTTGGGCACCCGGGCAGTATCACAGCCCACACACAAACGATGAACTCTATGTCTATGGCAACTACTTTTCTCGCTCCGAAAAACAATCAATCGATTCAAATAATTATCATTACTATTATTGTCATTATTAATACTATTATTATTACTATTATTGTCATTATTATTATTATTATTATTATTATTATTTTCCACATTATTCACCCTTTTTTATACTTATACAGCGGCTCCTCTTTGGTGGAAATTCGACTGTATCTAAACGTTCTCGAGTCACTGTCCGGTCGAAAATTGTATGTTACCATCGAATATGAGTACTGAAGCAGTTTTTCTGAAACCACGTGCGCCATTCAAACTGGCTGCCTTCAACGTTCGCACACTTATGCAGGTTGGTCAACAGATAGGGCTGGCTATGTCTTTGGAAAGTCTTAATATCGACGTCTGCTGTCTATCCGAGACCCGTATTCAAGACTCTGGTGAAGTACTACAAATTCGCTCTCCATCTGTCACTTCAAAAAGCTTGTTTTACGTGCGCTTATCCGGGGACCCTGTGGCATCTTCGTCTGGTCTTGCAGGCGTTGGTGTCGCACTAAGCGCTAGAGCTGAGGCAGCACTAGTCGATTGGATCCCCATTAACAGTCGGTTATGTGTTGTTAGATTAGAAAGTTCTATCAAAGTGAGAAGAAATCGGCGTGAGAAACGATGTCTTTTCGTCATCTCCGCCTATGCCCCGACAGATTGCAGCCCGGATGCAATCAAGGATGAGTTTTACCACCAGTTATCAGTTCTTCTCCAGAAAGTGCGTTCGACAGATATTGTAGTACTAGCCGGAGACTTGAATGCTCAGGTCGGGCGTCTAGGCACAGAAGAGAGTCGTTTAGGTGGCCGATGGGGACTCGTTGGTCGCAGGTCAGATAACGGGGACCGTCTACTGCAACTGTGCACAGACCACAACCTGTTTCTGGCTAGCACTAACTTTCGGCACAGTCATCGCCGATGTGCCACCTGGCGTCCTCCCTCTGCATCTCAAGCCTGGACTCAGATTGATCACATCGCGATCAGCTACCGCTGACGTGGTTGTGTAAAAGACTGCCGCTCCTTTTGGAGTACCTATCTGGACTCTGACCATGCCTTGGCCTGCGCCAATCTTGCCTTACTTTTCAGTGGCCAACGAAGTGACCACCACCAACGGATTGATGTTAACAAGCTGGTTGCAACTTCTGTTGCAAATAAGTATCGAACCGAGCTAGCCTCTAGGCTAGCTACCACTCCACCGAAAAGTATAGATGAGCATTGGTTGCAATTGCATGACGCCATGAAAATGGCGGGAACAGTCAGTTGTGGGTTTGCGAAACGTCCCGCTTTTAAGCACTGGGTTTCTTCTGGTTCCTTACAACTCATTGAAGCCCGTCGGTCTACTCCGGGTGACCGTGAGTTTGACCATAAACGAAGGATGTTATGTAAGGAAATTGGCCAAAGCTTGCGTAAGGACCGAGAAGCCTGGTGGTCGATGCGTGCTAATGAGCTGGAAGCAGCAGCTGCATCTGGTAACTGCCGGAAGCTCTTCCAGCTCATCCGAGCCACTGGCAGCAAGAAGTCTGGTGTGAGTGAAACAATCTGCGAGGATGATGAGATGCCAATCACTAACATCCATCGACGTCTTGGACGATGGGCAGAATTTTTCGAAGGGCAGTTCAACTGGCCTGCTGCTCCGGCAACATCGGTCAGACTGTCCTGCCCTCCATGGCCGGTGACGACTGATCCACCAAACGAGGAGAAAGTCCGCAAGGAACTCCAACTCTTGAAGCGTTACAAATCACCTGGCCCAGATGACTTACCTCCGGCTCTTTTTAAAGATGGTGGTGACTTTTTGACTAAGGAATTGACGACGTTGTTTACCAAGGTTTGGGAACTAGAGAGTGTACCAACGTCATGGAATGAGTCGATAGTTGTCCCTATCTTTAAAAAGGGTTCACGTCGTTCCTGCAACAACTATCGGGGGATAAGTCTACTTCCGATTGCGTCCAAGCTATTGGCTTCCGTCATACTTCGTAGGTTGTTCAAAACTCGAGAAAGATTGACTCGCGAGGAGCAGGCTGGGTTTCGTTCTGGTCGAGGATGTATTGATCATATCTTCACCCTCCGCCAAATGTTAGAACATCGCCATTCTTATCAAAGGCCAACGATCGTAATGTTTCTTGACATCAGGGCTGCCTTCGATTCGTTGGACAGGACTGTTCTCTGGGATTGTCTATTGAAGAAGGGTGTGCCTGAGAAGATTATTAACATCCTAAAAGCCCTATATACAAACACCTCAGGCAGAGTGAGGGCATACAACCACCTCTCTCCATTGTTCCATTCGAGTAGTGGGGTTAGGCAGGGTTGCCCAATCTCACCATTCCTCTTCAACTTTGCCATCGATGACATTCTGGAAACAGCTCTGATGAATGTAAGTATTGGTGGTGTGGATCTGTTGCCTGGAGAAAGACTTCTCGACCTTGAGTATGCGGACGATATTGTCTTACTGTGCGATAATGCCCAAGGCATGCAAACCGCACTTAATCAGTTGGCAATGAGTGTCCGTAGGCATGGTATGTGCTTTGCACGTTCAAAGTGCTAAGTACTTTTACAAGACTGGCATGACCCTGATCCTGTACTCACCCTGGATGGTGAGCAGATAGACGTAGTTGAGAAGTTCGTGTATCTGGGTAGCTGCATAAGTGCTGGTGGGGGTGTGTGATGAGATCAATGCACGTATAGTGAAAGCCAGAGCGGCTTATGCCAATCTAGGCCATCTTTGGCGCCTTCGTGATGTTAGTCTGGCTGTAAAAGGTCGGATCTACAACGCGTCAGTGAGAGCAGTTCTGCTCTATGCTTGTGAAACCTGGCCTCTCCGGGTTGAGGACGTTAGACGACTCTCTGTGTTCGATCATCGCTGTCTCCGAAGGATTGCTGACATTCAGTGGCAACACCATGTCAGTAATGCAGAGGTTCGGCATCGTGTGTTCGGGCACAGAGATGATAATTCAATTGGTGTCACCATCTTGAAACACCGACTTCGGTGGCCTGGACATGTTCTCCGAATGTCGTCCCAGAGAATTCCACGTCGTGCATTATTTGCCGACTCTGGAAGTGGTTGGAAGAAGCGGAGAGGTGGTCAGTGCATGACATGGTGTCGTGGTATGAAAGAAAGCTGCAAAGGACTGGCTTGTGTCGGTCCTTCACGACTCTCTGTTTGGGGTCCGAGAGATGGTGCAACACAGTGGCTAGAGACGTTATCAGATATGGCTCAGAATAGAAGCCAGTGGCGATCCTGCTGTAACCTTCTTTTACTTTCTTCATAAAAAGTGGTTGTGTCTCCCTTACCTGAAAGATTTCTTCCGATTGTACCTTTGCGTTCCCTGTTTACTAGCACATTACCTTACACCAATCTCTTCGTTATTGTTCTCTCTTTTTTTGTGCTCCTTAGCTTCTTTTTTTTTCTTCTTTGTATTCCTCTTCGAATATTCATTGTTCTGTGTGGCGCATATATATTGGCGCTCTCTTGTACCAATATTCATGTGTCCAAATAAATAAATAAATAAATTTAACAGTGCAATCCAAGACTATCGTTTCGTCCTATTTAAGGCTAGTTAGCTGAATGTACCTGCACCCCAGTGTTGATATTTTCACAAGCAATTGAGTGCTTTTTCCCCAGTTGAATTTATCATCCTCATAAACTTGTTTACTGTATGATCCCATCCTCGCATTTGATAGTAACCTCTGTGAATTATGTGCATCATGTTGAAGCTACAGGTTAATATGGTGGGTGAACAAAGATGTTTACACACTACTTGATACTCTCAGAGTAGTCTTCTCCTTTATTTATTCTTCTATACGAATTCATATAGACCATAGGAATAAAAACATAAATATATTGAATTCATTAAATATTTTGAAAGTCATTTAAAGATTATCTGTCAAACCCCATTGTGAATGACTTAATTATGTTCAATTATCAATAACTGTTTATATCGGTGGCTGAATATCATTTACCCACCCAGTGGATTATTGATCTTACGAATGCTTTCCTCAGTATATCACTGAAGCAATCTTGAACAGATTGTGCATGAAGTCTCCTTGTCATCACGGACTACTGGCACCAGTTGGTGAACCATATAAAACCAAAAATTATTAAGTAGCTGTTTCTCTCTAGTTTTAGCTACTCAGCACTGTTTATTTAAAATCCCTCAAATTAAAAAGAAACTATGGAGTAGTAGGTAACACAAATATATAACTGGCAAACACGAGAATTGTTGTAGAGATGTAGCTGTTACCTTGAGACTTTGGAAAGAAACGTTTTTCACATTGCCTTTTTAATGCCAATATAAATTATCTACGTATGACATAACTGTATTCGTTTGTGTTTTAAGTCAATGGTAATCTTATTTATTTGTTATTATTCAAAATATCCAATTTTTTGTTCAAAATATGTATGTTTATTAAACAATACTTAGTTAAATGTAGTCTATTCCTGATAGAAAAGTGTCACAAACAAAGAATTACATTTCCTTGCAACGCATTAACCAAGATCATATCTTCTTGTTACTTTTATCAGATATCAATAAATTAATCAGCCTCTGGAAAGTTTCTACAAGTTTGCATTTAAATCTTTTTGGTTCCAAGATTGATCATAATTTAAAAATTCATTCTAAAATAATTGACAGTTCATGTTCTGATTCGCTCAATTCATACCCTATCTACTGTCCAGATGTTTATAACTTAAATGATTCCAAGTGAGTTTACATAAAAATGTTTATCTTGTTTGATTGTCGTGTTTAATTATTCTGCATAGTTTTGTTGGAGGGGTTTGGTAAAGATTTATTTTACTTCATTAGTAGCTGGTGTTTGTCATTTATTGACCTCATTTTATTTACCTTAACTATGGTCAATCTGTGATCAATATCATATACATATTTTGCATATTGTTTTTATACAGTGTCTGTTATCAGTACATAGAATTGTGAAATTGAATGACCATTTATTTAATCATAAATACAATGTAGTGAACGAAAACACCAGTGGGGACAATCAAATGTGTTTGTACACAAATTTACAGAAACTCTTAGTAAAATCTGATTATCCATGCAGTAAACTCTTCATTTGCCAAACGTCAATCGATTCTCTGTAACTTGACTGTTCCTTCGTTTCCACACCAATCACTCTGTTCTCGTTCTCTTTTCGTCCGTCTTCTTAGCCTTCTGCCTCCAGACATTTCACTTACGATTGATAATACATACGACTTATATCTGTCGAAATCAGTAGCACACACTACAAAACACACTATGCCATTCAATTACAAAATCATTTAAAACATAATGATTCAACTAATTCCTCAATGCAATTTATGGCTCAAAGCCATGTATACGAATATGTACCTGACTGATGAATTAGTAACAAACACAATTTTAAATTGATCATGTTAGGAGTATAACTTGGCGAATATTTACAAATAGATAATAAATATTACCGAGCTTACTTCGGTTAATATTTATCAAACCTATCTCCTTATTTCGGCTAATAATTTCTTACAAGTTTAATTTTACATAATAAAGTTTGACTACTTTTCTCCATTCTATCAAGATCAATATATGTTTGCACATTTTCCCCTAAATTACGATGTCGTTTCATTACAATAAGCTTGTTCTTACAAGATTCTACTACGTTTTTCACGAAAACACACACATCAAATGTTTGCTTCCCTTATAAGCCTATTTAATGACTAATTTACATTTTCGTTGTACAATTCCATCTATTCTGCACATTTTTCATTGATATGTTCTCATTATTGGATATGACATAGCTAAGCATGATCCGATTGTTGCATAGTTTTACTCCATATAAGTAGTGGTGGTTATACCATGTAAATATTTTTCAGCTTACTTAACCAAAATGTTATATACTTCCTTTATACGCATGATGTTAGTTATCGATCAATAAGTTTTTCATCTGATCAACATTTTTATTTCTCTCGTAAACATTTTGATTCGAATAATATGAAAGTTTTTTTCATGTTGTTAAAATTATCTTCATTCAGTATTTGTTTCTTAAGAGTGATATTGGTAATAATATACTGTACTAACTAACCAATCAGATTTATGTTAGTGGCTATTGAAGTTTTGTGCCAAATTTAAAGTCCAGTCACGGATATCTTGTACCACATTAAAACTAATTAAACTACTGTAATGAACGAAGATTCAGTTATGGTAAACCAATTTATTATATTATGCGGAATCACAGTGTATTCGTAAAATATGAAAGGAATACATTAAATGCACTATTTGCCCATCTTCCCTGAGTTATCTTTCCAAACTCCATCATCCTTTTATTCTTGTTGTTATTTCGATTGCTTTCCATTTTTCTTTCTCCTCTTTCCATTTTCCACTTCTGTCCGTAAAAATTTTACTTTCAATTCCCGATACATACTACTTATATCCGTCCGTACAAGTACTGCAAATCACACTACTACCAAAATGTAATTAATAAAATGTTGAAAATTGATCAGACTGCAAAGATTGACGAATAGGCATCATGATCTAGAGAAATGTCTAGAGTTAAAGTAAACATTCTGGAGGTTTAAAATATAAAAAAATTAACTTCATAAGTGTTCATTTTTATGGGTCTACAGAGAATTCACTCACTTGACTGTGCTTATCATTACTCGTAGGTGCTAACGCAAATTTTGGATTTCCAAACATAACTAACCTGTAACCCTGGTCCTTTAGTCTTTACCGAATCACCTTGACATTTTTCTAATTTCGGTGTAATAAGTGATTTATTTATATCACTGCTCTCAAATGCCCTGGTACGACCGAGGGTGGATAGGGTTCTCCCTTCCTCTCAAAATGCTCTCACGTGGCCACGAGTATACAACCATTACCAGGGAAGCCTTACTCATTACTTTCTCTAGTCGGTAGCGTTGTTTACGAAATTGAGAGGACGAAAGTCGAATACTCGGCGCTTTAACCAGGTTGGTGGGCACAAAGTAATCAGCTGAAGGAGCTGGAAAACCCTGATTTCAAACCAATGGTGCACTTGGGCTCCAGGATCCTGATGAAACAAATGGCGTGTGAACCCATTGTTGGTCATCGGATACCACGAGACCGCATCTCCTGACGTTGTTCCACTGCCTTGTGGACTAAACCTTCAGGTCGGGAGCTCGGGGTGTGGCCCCCTAAGAAAACCACCTGCTTCGGTCTGGGCACCCGGGTAGTATTATAGAGTTCACACAAATCAATGATAATTACTACTGGCCTCATTGGTATTGTGTGGCGCAGTTGTATTTAGTGCCCTCTTATACCGATGTTTATGTGTTCAAATAAGTAAATATAATATATCACTGACATTTGTATTTGCTAAATATCAGGTTTACTTTATCAAAGTTGCTCAAGGTATTTACTGCAGTGTACATTCCATGCGATATCTTGTGATCACTTGTGAAAATATAATGAAGAATATCCTTAAATCTAAATGGTTCATACATATTCAACCAACTGGTTAATATATTTTGATTTGGGAAATCGAATCGTATATAAAACTTAGTGGTCATTACTTATTTTATGCAACATACTTCCACTATAACTTTGCATTCTACAGTGATCCAGTTGAAATTTACGGATTCACTAAAAATAATCTATGTGAGATATTAAGAGATAGTATTAAAATGATTGTTCCATGTGATTAACATTTTCATACCGTTAAATTTTCTAATAACTCGTTTGTTGATTATAAAGAGAAAGATCTCATTCCTGTTGTAAATAAATTTATTGATGTCTCTAATATTCGTAGATTTTCGAAAAGTTTACCCTATAGAGCATTTTTATACTTGGTGCTAATTAGTTTATTCATCAATTCTGTTTTTCTTTCTAATGGTTTGAAAACTGAATTCTGGTAACAGCTACAAAAAGGTTGTAAAACACTCAAGATATGGGCTAAATAAGCGACTTACGATTCTGTCATTCTTTTTGTTCAGATAGTATTGACGATTGAATATAGAATTTCTCTGTTGATATTCCAGTTATTTACCCCCCGACCGTTGTTGCTACCTTGACGTGGTGGTCGGGCTTGCCTATCGTGATGACCCAACCGAGCTATACTGACTGGAACAACCGTTCCTCAAGGTCCTACCATGTCAGACAGGTCGGTTGAAGAGCGGTAAGACTAAAAGCAACAAACCCAAGGTCCGAAGGCGAAGTCGTACTGCTGACTGTACAGAGGTGTGACAGCAGTAAGGTGTTTCCTTCAGACAACCAGCATGACAGCGATGCTGCCTTCTCACAAGGAGGGGTGGGGTTAGAAAAGGTCGACCCTAAAAATGCACACCTCACCTTACCTCACGGATTTCCGTCTCCGGCGGTAAGGCCCTTTGAAGAACGGAGCTAACACGTCGAAAACCTTCCACGAAAAGGCCGTGCGCGACCGGCCTCAAGCAGTTGTCCCTTGGGCACTGCGGTCACGCTCTCAGGTCACTGAGACCACCTCTAATCCAATTTCCTTTTCAGGTACCTCCAGAAGAACCCTTCCACGGTGTGGGCAACCGGGAAGTGATAACCGCCCTCATACCTCTAACAGCACCCAAGACCACTGTATTCATAATCAACCTTCCTCTTCAATTCCTATTATTTCTCCTACATCGACTCTCAACCCTAAACTTCCTCCTTCGGCTTCCTCCTCAAGTGTCACCATAGCCAACGATTCTAGTGCTCAAAACTCTGTCCCAGGTCTACTGAAACCTCGCTCCAAACTACACATTGGAGCTTTCAACGTACGCACTCTATGTCAAATCGGTCAGCAGGCTTCCTTGGCTAAAACCCTAGAGTCTCTTTCCATTGATGTATGCTGTGTCTCTGAAACACGCATACAGGATCCCAGTGTGGTCATTCACTTGACCTCACCTCGGCAGAACGGAGAGTCAACGAGATACACCCTCCGTGTATCTGGTGACCCGATGGCCAGTTCTCGTGGACTGGCAGGTGTAGGCATAGCGCTAAGCATGAGGGCCGAACAAGCACTGCTAGAGTGGATCCCCGTCAACAGTCGTCTATGTGCTGTTCGGCTGAACGGCTACGTAAGAACTCGGAAGGATAGGGACACACGTCGTTGCCTTTTTGTCGTTTCTGTCTACGCTCCCACTGACTGCAGCTCAGATGAAGTGAAAGATGAATTTTACAGAAAGCTTTCTGAACTTCTTCAGAAAGCTAAACGCTCAGACATAGTACTCGTAGCAGGTGATTTTAATGCTCAGATAGGTAGCTTAAACCAAACAGAAAGGCATTTAGGTGGATATTTTAGTATTCCGACACAGCGAACAGATAATGGTGATCGTCTGCTGCAGCTATGCTCAGACAATCGTTTATTTTTAGCAAACACAAATTTTAAGCATAAGGAGAGACATCGTCTAACATGGCGACCCCCTACACCAAACCAACGATGGACTCAAATAGACCATATTGCCATCAGTCATCGTTGGAGAGGGTCGGTAGAAGATTGTCGCTCATTCTGGAGTACCTGCTTGGACTCCGACCATGCCCTAATACGGGCACGCATCTGCTTGCGCCTCACTGGATGCAAAAAAGCCACATTAAAAAGACCCGTTAGAACTGAGTTGAGTAACGAGAAAACCAAAAGTAGGTTCCAGGAACAACTGAGGTCACACTTAGGTAGTTGTGAAGACGAGGCTGACCCAGTTGTTGCTTGGAAGGGCATACAATCAGCTGTGGAAACACCAGTGACATCTATTAGTGACTTAAACCACAGAGTTGCAAGGAACCAGTGGATTTCTTCAAGGTCTGTCACACTGATGGATTCTCGCAAACTCGTCCCATCAGGTTCTGAACATGATGAAGAGTGAAAACAAATCAGATCTAGGTTAAGAAAAAGTCTAAGGAACGACCGTGAGCAGTGGTGGGTAACGAAAGCAAAAGAGATGGAAAAGGCGGCGACTATAGGGAACACAAGACAGCTTTACAGACTAATAAAAGAAACTGGAATTAATAAGTCAAGTGTAAGTGAGATTATTTCGGAAAAAGATGATACTCTCATCTGCTCCCAGTCCAGACGCTTAGAACGATGGGCGGAACATTTTAGAGAACAGTTCAGCTGGCCTTCAGCTACTCTACAACTACCCTCCATTCCCAGACAATGTGAATGGAACATTGAAGTAGGTCCCCCAACTCTTGCTGAAGTTCAAAAGGCTATAGTTAATCTGAAACGAGGAAGGGCAGCTGGTCCAGATGGATTGGCACCAGAGGTCTTTAAGGATGGTGGTCCAATTTTAGCGATTAGGTTGACTAATATTTTAGCTAAGATCTGGGAATTAGACTTTATCCCATCTGACTGGTCGCAATCACTCATCGTCCCAATATATAAGAAAGGGTCAAAATCATCCTGTGACAACCACAGAGGGATTAGTTTAACAAACATAGTATCTAAAATACTGGCCTCGATAATTATCAGACGCCTAACTAAGACTCGTGAACTACAAACTCGAGAGAACCAAGCTGGCTTTAGACCTGGTCGTGGCTGCATCGACCACATATTCACCATTCGTCAGGTTCTAGAACACAGGCATACCTATCGGCGTCCGACGATGGTGGTCTTTCTTGACTTAAAAGCAGCGTTTGACTCTGTAGACCGCGAGACTCTGTGGCAGTGTCTGTCATTGAAAGGCGTACCTCAGAAGTACATAAACCTTGTGAAGGCTCTTTACTCGAACACTACTAGTCGAGTCAGAGCTTATGGCGAACTGTCATCTACTTTTGCAACTTCAAGTGGTGTCCGTCAAGGCTGTCCACTTTCTCCATTTTTGTTTAACTTCATCATAGACCTATTGATGGAAATAACACTCTCGTCGACTGAATTCTCGGGCATTAATCTCCTTCCAGGAGGTCCACTTATCGACTTAGAATACGCAGATGATATAGTCCTGTTTGGTGAAGACGCTGACAAAATGCAGAGTCTTCTGGTAGCACTAAGCAACAATGCCAGAATGTTTGGGATGCGCTTCTCTCCCTCTAAATGCAAGTTGTTGCTTCAGGACTGGTGTGCGTCAACACCTGAACTAAGGATAGGGAGTGAAGTAGTCGAACGCGTTGACAACTTCACTTATCTTGGAAGTCTGATCAGCCCTAATGGGTTGGTGTCTGACGAAATCTCAGCACGGATTCGAAAAGCTCGTTTGGCTTTTGCCAACTTACGTCACCTTTGGCGGAGGCGAGATATCCGTCTATCAATAAAAGGACGAGTATACTGCGCGGCAGTCCGTTCTGTCTTACTTTACGGCAGCGAAACATGGCCTTTAAGAGTAGAAGACACCCGTAAGCTACAAGTATTTGACCACAGATGCCTTAGAAATATTGCTGGCATCTGCTGGGATCACCGGGTAAGTAATAGTGAGGTTAGACGCAGGGTATTAGGGAATGATGGTAAATCAGTTGATGAGGTTATGAATCTTCATCGACTGAGATGGTTGGGCCACGTATTACGTATGCCTGAACACCGATTACCACGACGTGCAATGCTATCCGGTATTGGAGATGGTTGGAAGAAAGTTAGGGGCGGCCAAACCAAAACGTGGCATCAGTGCTTGAAGTCACTAACTTCTAGTCTGAGCCATGTTGGTAGATGCAGACTACTTGGTTGGGGTCTGTGTGACTATCGTAACCAATGGTTGGAGACTCTTGGTGACATGGCTCAGAATCGATCACAATGGCGTCGGTGTATACACTCCCTGTCTTCCCTTAAACTAAGAGATTAAATCACTTCATATCTTTCTTTCTACGAACTAATTCTTCCTTCCTATACTATATCCTTATTGCAACCTTTGACCTAACCACTCCTATGAATCCGGTGTTCATCTTGTTGTGCTAATGAGGTATGGCAACCTGGACCGATGCACATATGTGCCTGGTCCTACGTTGTAGCTGACTGACTGACTGAGTTATTTACCCTTGACATGTCTAATTTGTTTATGATTTCTCTCCTTTGTTTATTTCTCTCTATCATTTTTCTGTTTCTATTTATAGCAATATCAACGAAGATTATGATTTTGATATTATTTTTGTGAATGGTATGTTAGGTAGTGTTTTCTACACTTGGAGACAGCATGATTCAATGCTTGCCAACAATGCTACTCAGTATACAAAATGTTGGCCTAGAGTAAGTATATATATATATTTTTTTTTTCATCACACAATCTGTCATTTCAATTTAACGCTTATTTACCACACCGAGTTATACGTTTACTTTAAAAACAAGCGTTTTTGTTATGTATGTTATGAATGGAAGCTTATATAGTAAGCCCTTTGAAGTTTTTATTACCTACTTGCTGTTATTTAAATGACTAACCTACTATGTAAAAGTGTATGAGAGTCTGATTTAATGCGTCTGCACCTCAACTTGATCTATCCTTCCATTGGTTGTAAACATAGACGATCAATAATCTATCTACACATAAAATACATATTTTTCGACTTTTTACGCATACACTCACTCTCCTTCTAGTGTGCTAATGATGCTCATAAAACAAATCTCCTAATAGAGTAGATTTCACGAAATATAACCAATGAATAACTAACTGAAAATCAAGACTATCGTCAATACAACAAATAGCTTGTCTAGAACGAAGACTCGGTTCACAAAACGATAAATAATTTTTAGCATCTCTTTGTATCAACAATTCCCTGTCTATTTCACCGAAAACTCATATACTGAAGGAATCATTCTACTAATATAATGAATGTTGTATTGTTATTTAAATTTTATAGGACTGGCTTTCCCATCGATTTCCGCAAGCTCGAATTATTGGTGTTGATACGTCATTGAAGCCATTTGTTTGGCATTCAATTTGTCCACTTCAAAAGTTACGGTAAATTTATTCTCTTGTTCATTTAATGTATACAATTTCAAACTAAATAATTTTTTTCACGAAAGTATATCCTTGTTATGATCTATTTTTTGGGGGGATTGACACGTTCAAACTTTCCATTTTAAAGACAAGAATTTTTTTCTATATCTTGAGGTCATAGATTACTATTTAATTTATCATAAATTCAATATGTGAATAACATAGTGAGTTCTCACAGTTAATGTGGTTCTAATCTTGTTCCTCAGTATTTAAACATAAACATGTTGTTGGGTTATCGGTATCAATGCCAAGGTTGGACTTGTTACTATCAAATAAATTTTTCTACTCACTGGGATATAACAAATAATATATTTATTATTATTCAGTTATCATTTTAACTAGACTACAGCTAAACGAAACTGCCTTAATTACTATTCTTTCTAGGTCTTAAGTATTTTAAATTTCGTCGACTGAGCACTTTTTCTTATTCGGTCTTATCCTGTTTATGTATGACCAATATTCAGGTGTAAATGGTTAACGTAGTTTTGTTTCAAAACAAATCAACATTTTAAGATACTAGCTTACGTACTCCCTATCACTTCTGATTGTTTAATTTCTTTCTTTGAACGTAGGCTAACATTATATAATGAAAAAAATTGTAGGTATTCTATCATCGTTTTTTTTCCTGAGTTTCGTACGGTGAATCGACTAGATTTTTTGTTAATTAAGCTAGTTTACTTAATGATGCAGGTAAACTTCATCAGTTTAGATAATTAGAGTAGTTTTCATCTACTTCAAGCTTCTGTTTTCTTTGGTTTTCTGTATTTGTTCACTGATGAACTGTATTCGAATTGATCTATTTTTTAACTGTTAGTAAGAATCTATAGGCTTATTTTCTGAATTTTGTAAGATAGTAAAAATATGATAGTTGTAGACGTTAAGTAATGTTACCCAAAATCAAAATGGGTAAAAATATACGCATTATTTCTTTATTAAGTCATCCTATATATATAGAACTTGACATGTTTTTAGGTACTCATTTAATTCTTCTATCCCATTGACTTTTCTTAACTCCATGTTTAAACTTCTCATTTTGACATGTGTCTAGAGCTTAAGCGCTCACCGCCAGACCAAAGGTCCCGGTTTTGGTCTCCGATAGAGTTGTGAATACGCACTGCTGTGATACCCCGTACTAGAACGAAATAGCTGTCCAATGCTTTCTGGTATTCGACAGTTGTCTAACTACGATCAGTCTGTGATGCAACGTATAACAGTCCAACTATGTCTGCAGACCCCGAATAATTATAGTTCATTAGCTAATGAATTCTAAAGTTGACTTCTACATTTATTTCAAACTATTGTCTTGAATGTTGTAGGATATCAGTTAATTATTTGCATATTCTCTTGATGATTGAATCATACTTTAAATTACTTATTGTATTTGTTTTGTTTTTTTAAAAAATGAAGATTAAATTTTTTGATTCATCCATTACACTCTACGTCAAACTCCTTAGGTATGCAAAGAAAAAAGCTCACCTTACTATTTACTGTTAATGATGTTGATTAATAGAACTTTATTATACTTTTCCTGTGTAAAATGCAATTCTAAAAAAACTATCGGTGAAATACTTGACATTTTTTTCAAAAACTGAATTCATTAAAATTGCTATTTCTATGTTTGATTTAACATAAGACGCTTAATATATTGATAAATGATTTGTAGTGATCTCATTTCTAGGAATTTTAATGACGCCTCAGTTTTAGTACAAACTAATAATAATAATAATAACAATAATAATAATGCAACAATAACAATAATATTGGGTAGTCAATGCTAATTCATGAATCAACTGAAGTTGCAAGTGAGAAGATTATCGAGGGTTCCGGCAATCCAATGATCTCAAGGTAATATGCTCGTCTCCAAGACTTGGGGTCCTTAGATTTGAACCATGATCGCTTCATCTGGGCGCATTGTTGAGTTCATGCAAAGTCGAAATGCTTGTCCAGTACTCTTTGATTTTCCAAACTTCTCTAAATAAAGTTAATCTGTGGCTAATACCACCTACAATTCTAACCAATCCCTCAGTCAAACAATGTTTATGTTATTAACACTGATTGACTAATATTTTAACTAATAAAGAAACACTTTTGTAGCAACCTAAAGTATTGGTTTATTTTATATCTAAAAGTTAGGTTATAGATTTACTCTCAAAAAAGTTGTGGTCATTCAAAACACTTCTTTCTTCAGTGATTAGCTTTATTATTTTATTAATCACTAATGAATTCACTAAACATGTGTATAAACCTGCATTGTGCATATTATATCTTCTAATCAATAGTTTTTTTTATCCGAAGATACCACTAGAAGTAAACTTATTCAAATAGTTTATAAATAAGTGAATAGTAGTAATGGTTGTGATATTGGTTTTCTCACAAACGTCTTACTTCATTTGACTCACATATGCATATCTGAATGAGTGGTTTATGAAAATTGTTTACTTTTGAAGATATTTGGACAATGAATAGTCAGTATATATATATATATATATATATATATATATATATATATATATATATATATATATATATTAGTGGGGCAGTTGCTCAGTGGTTATGGTATTCAACTTTCATCCACTCGGTCCCGCTCAATCTACTTCGGTTAGGGCCACTGAATAGTATCACTAACCATCATAACTAAGTACAAGCACTCGGGGAATGAGTTAAAAATAAATCAACGATATATAATAGCTTTCTATTTACTGGATACCATGAAGTACATAAATTACTTCCAAATGCATCGAACTGAGCTTATTTATTCTTTCTTTTTTCAAACATAAAATCTATTGTATCATTACTACAAGAAGCTGTTTGTTTTCAAACGAAACAGTAAATATTTCTATCGTCTTCATCGTTACATGTTAATGGCTTAGCTTTTTTAAAGTTTCTTTATTCCTCGTTCATGAATGCCTTATATGGGTTAGCAAACTTGATAGGTGTTCCTCTTCTACTACTCTTCTTACCATAAAATAGTAATATTGCTTGTAATTAAAAAAAAGCCGATATCCTCTTAATCTCTGATCTTCCATTTCATTGTAATGTATCATTGATACACCAAGTATAAATTTGTGTATTCGGCTTTAACGATTACTTTGCTCTACTGTTTAGTCCTTCTGTGGCTGATATTGAATGACAAAACTAACTAGATACTTTGTTTAGAACATTTAAAGTTTATGGTAAAGTATGATTACTACTTCGCTGTATAGTTTAACATATACACTTATAATCATCTAATTAATTTATTCAAATGATCTAATCATATATACTGTGTATATTAACAAAATGTCTCATGTTTTATTAATTCAACTCTCTATTTCTCGTGAATTTGATAAAAATCAGTCTCTATAGCACAATGCGTTTTCTTTGTTTTTGTTTTAATAGGCGTACATTAAATGAGCGAGCTGTAGATATAATGAAACAACTTAAAAAAGCAGAAATTGGTCGTCGACCTATAATATGGATTACTCATTCAGCTGGAGGTAATTCACTCTTTTTTTACTACTTCTTTCGTTTTCATATTTTGCTGGTTTTGTTTTGTTCATCAATTAATTTTTTGTTACTTTAGGAAAAATAAATATTAGCATCAGAGTTGTAGTATATGGTGGTTATTTTTTTATTATCAAAGATCTGTTATCCACTAGGTAAGTACTATAAACTGTGGATCGTTAAATACACTAGTTATGTTATACTCTATAGTTCTTCGCTGGTAAGTACTTACCACCTTACACTGAATCCAATTCCAAGTCCCTTACTGTAACGTATAACGTATTTGTAAATTACAGGTTTCGCTAATGCAATTACAAGACGAATTTTCTCATTACATTATCGAAATTTGTCAAAAGGACTAATTGTTTTAAATTACAGGTTTATGTATTTAGTTTTAAGCTACATCGTTTGTATGAAAAGCTTGCCCAAATCAAAGTATACGGTGTGATTCAAACCTGTAACCTATTGAGTGTAGTCTAGGTACTCTAACTGAATACTCCTCTCTTTACGACAAGAACAAACGCACTAAGTTACTGGTTCGGAATCTAAAGGTTTAGATTTTCTAATTTCTATCATTTTGTGATTACAGTCTAACCCCTGCTCCTCCCCCGCTGCACTCAATATCATCAAAGTATAACTTCGCATTTGACTTCCTTTTCAATAAAACTTTAGGAAATTCATCCGAAGTTAGCCATATTAATGAGAAACCTGATTAATAGTTATTCAAAATCATTTACCCCATGAAATGATATTGATTTTTTGTTGTTGAAATAATACATATTTTGTCATAATTTCACTGCTACTCTTTTTTTGCTGATCAATGAAGGAGTTACTATTACTATCATTCCATTAAAGTGATGTTTTAATTGTAGTCTAATGGTCTAGGATTTTTCATTCTATTTAATATCTCTGAATTATCCTAAAATACCTGTTGAGTAATTGTGTTTTTCTTTATGAAGTTGCTTTTTGTCAAACTGTAAGAACTAGCTGAGCATTTCATCCACTTGGGAAAAATGGCCCTATCTCTTTATGCTAGAAGTATTCACATTAAATATAATTTGCGTTAGTTCTCATACATCACCGATACGTTGATTCAGCAAACGTTAAGGAGTTAATAATATTGCATAAGTTAGTGTACACATCTCAGGCTTACGGGAAATCATTTAGGACTTTAATAGCTCTCTGACTGTGATGTGCATTTAAATTTTGTAGAAAGCATCATTTCCCTCAAGAATTTATACACATCTCTAACGGTTTACATCGTATATGAAACCTAGCTTTTATGATTTCTACCGGTCAATTTCAACCACCTAAGACCAAAGATAGTATATTGCAATAATGAGTTACCTAGAATAGTGACCACGTTACAACTTGATAAGTAGAATTCAATTATCATTAAGAACTGGTTGGGTTTTAGCAGTTCGATTGTTAAAACTAATAAATATTTTGCAATACAATTCAGACTTCAACTGTATCATTACGTATGGTAATAACGATGTAGTTCACTTCTCTATTGCAAATCCATTCATAATATTATGAACTACACTTTTAAATTGCAGTTTCTTAGAGATACTTTTATTTGAAGTGCTACTTAAAGTTCAGAGCTATCTTATCGAACGTTCCCAACCACTAGTCGTTGTTATTGCGCGAACCACAACCATTTAGTTTTCTTAAACCAGTTTGATTGAGATCAGGAGTCAGTGACTTCACAGACCGATTCTTATGTATTGGTTTGGCCGCTCCTAGGCTTCTTCTACATTAGTAAAGATTTGCCCGTCGATTTATTCTATGGTTAGGCATACGTAACGTAGATCCCAACCACTGCAGCTTATCAAGATTTACAATCTCAGCAACTGGTTTCTCACTTCTGTTTGGTACCGCTATGCCTAACCGTAACATTGGTCGTGCATTTGCCTCACAAAACACGCGAATATTTCAAGGAAACCTTCGGTCAAAAACCTGCTTCCTGAATATGTCTTAAGCTAAGCTTTCATAGACCATGTTTCACAACCATTAATAAAAAGAGGACTACTGCACGGTATACACACCTTGGTTAGCAGACGGACATTTCAACTACCCCATAAATAACTTAAGTTAACGAACACTAACCAATACCGTGCTGAGATTTCGTCAAACACTAGGCCACTTATGGTTGACGAGACTTTCATCATTTTTTACATATCCCAGAATGTTAAAATTATCACGAACACTGGTTGATAAACTCTACTCGTCAATGAAGATTAAAAACATGTATTCTTACTATTAGTAGTAAGTTTAATTTAGAAGAAACTCGTACTTATTGACTCACTAAATTTGGTCCTAGTTTTGTATTTCTTACTTTTTCATTTTTCAATGTTGATAATCTATATTAAATACAAACTAGAATGTACTCTGCTTACCGACACTCACTGTAAGACACATCATTTCATATATATGGAGAAGTTATGTGTGTGGATCGAAATAATGAAGTGTTGAGCTTTCAATAAATAAATAGTACCATTTTTAGTTATAAATAATTAATACGTATATATGTATGCAAACAAACAAATTTTATTAAACTTCTTAAATTAAGACATTATTATGAACTTGAAAATATAAAGGTTCGTTAAAAATGTACTCTTGGAATGATGGATTCATGTAAAGCTTGTTCACTGCTATTATTAATAGTGGATCCATCGGAATCACATTCTATGTACAAAAAGTTGATAATAAAATTTAAATAACCCAGTTATTGATATGGAGAGCTGAATTCTGACTAGTCTTTGTTGGCATATGTGTATCCTATGTGGCTTGCTTTGATGTGTTGTGGTCATCACTGGAACCCAGGATTTGCATTCCATCTTTAGTTATCAGTACTCAATCGCTCAGTGAGTAATGGATTTTATGTTTAAAGAGTATGGTACCGGATTAGGGTTCCGATATAAATATCAAAACTGACATGCAGGTATAACCAGCTGACAAGTTCCGTTGTCAATCACGATCCATGCAACATATAAAAAAAATGGTTCTTTTAGGTTCGAATACTTTCAGTCATATTGTATACAACGAGAATACTGATACAAATATATATCTATTAAAATTTTCACACTTCACATCACCATGATTCAGGGGATTGCGATGAAAAGCAAAACGTGTGGAATAAATACGACGCTGGACATTCAGTTGATGGTGTTAATCCATATTAGAAACAAAATATGTATTCGTACGAATATGTATCAAAGTTTATTTCTGATTATTATGTACACTAATTAAACTGTATTATGTCGTCTAGATCCACACTAATTCAATTTGTATTCTTAAATTCATGGATTCTGATTTTTTTTAAGAATGTGCGTACATATTGGGAACCAAGAAAGATTTCTCCATGTGTATATCGTTTTTTATATTTCATTTGTCCAATTTAATAATTGGATATTACTGTTTGGAAGTAACTATTAACTACTTCTCTTTTAATGCTTATATGAAATATTCGTTTTTCTAACACCATCAATAGGTATTCTTGTGAAAGAAATGCTTCGATTGGCTAATTCTGTTAGCAATGGTACTTCCGAACAATCGGAAAACGATCATTCTGAGCCAAGTACCACGTCTAGCACTAGAGAGTGTGCACACGTTTCTCATACTTATGCAGCTTTGTCAGTTTTAAGCGGAGAAAACCCATCTGTTTCTCAATCCTCAATTTCTAAAATCGATCCATCCTGTAAATGGTATTGTCACGAAACTGACCAGGAGAATGGAAATCTGTCAAATATATCGAATCCTAGTTTTGTTGAAGATAAAAATTCCAATATTTCTGATAAATATTTTGAAAATCGTATGTATTATTCGTCTAGTTGTTCTGATTTTCTGTCTAAACCCAGTAGTGATGCATCATTCCTAACCACTTTATCCGATAGTTCGAAAACAGATCATGTAAATTACCAAACATTAGCAAGCAATACACAAGCAGTTGTATTTATGAGTACACCACATAGAGGAAATCAATCGGTGCACACTTTATATCGTCGTCCATTCCGATGGGCGCTTACTCCTGAAGCTATTCAACTTGAAAAAAGTATGTTCGTACTTTTATTTTGCTTACTGACAATAAATAATTTTCGTTTCTTTTTTGTTTACTGAGGTTTCAACTTTTTTTCTTTCTTATCAGCTATGAGTTTGTCATGTTTTATCTAACTAAACTGTGTAAAAGTAATACCAGCTTATTACAATTAAATTTTTCCTAAAGCGAGATTAACGAATATTGTTATGTAGCGAACGAGAACTTAAGAGGGGACAACCAAAGGTATTTTAATACAACAGTACAGAATATCTTGGTAAAATCTGAGAACCATACAGTGAATACTTCACTTGCAAAATATCCATCAATTGCCTCACACTTCGTTGTTCCTTCATTTCCGCACCAATCACTCTCTGTTTTCGTCCTCTTTTCTTCGATCTTCTTAACCTAAAGCATCCAGGCATTTCACTTTCTATTGGTGATACATAGTACTTATATCTGTGGATATCAGTAGCATATATCATAGTTAGGTCCAGTAAATTAATATTTTACTTACTGTAAATCTACCCTCACTAATATGCTAATTTTGTGAACTAAATGCAGTGTTACAAAAAAAGTAAAATGTACGAAACAAATGTAGTTATTGTCAGTAATGTGGAAAATCACTAATCACTAGAACAATAATAACGTGAGTATATGTTGGTGACAAATATCGTAACATGTTGGTGTCCAAATCCAGTTCAAATCACCAGGGTTGAAACTTAACACAAACAAAATTCTTCGAGGATCGAAACTCAAAATCGGGAGCTACCTTTGGTTTTAATTAAAATTGAGATTTTATGTACTCTCAAGATTCTACAGTCGACTAAAAATACACAAACGTTCGATCCCATTAAGACAAGTAGTAAATTTCACTAATTTACTAGCATATCTTTTCTCCAAATACCTGTCCTTAGTGTGAAAATCTTTCTAAAAATATACAAGACTTATAAATAAACATTCATTTTGATTTTAAATTGAAAATAACAAACTAGAAGCTAGATAAAGCCATGATATTTGTCCATGATTTGCTAGCATCCCTATTATCGAATGTCCTAATATCATTTTCGGTTTGTTCGAATCGGGCACGAATCTATCAGAATGATGTCCACGAAATACCAGTAGAATCGTCAAAGCTTTGAACTTTTTCGTAGGAACTAATTATTTTAAGTTCAAAGGAAGCTTATTTCGTTAGACAAATGGAGTTGCGATAAATCTCTGTGTATCATCTATATTTGCAAATCTGTTCATGAATCGATTTAGAAAAATAACATCTTAGTTAACAGATCGTTGTTTTAAACTCATCCCTATACTCCTACCGACTTTTTTGTATGATTTAGCCGATAATAGCGGAGTCAGTCATGCGTGGTGTAAAAGTTAGCATTTTAACCATCAGTCCAAGTTGTCACAACACTAACACAGCAAGGTAAAATTATCAAGGCGAATCCCTGAATCGTAGAGTTAAATAATACTATTAGTTGTAGTAGAAAAAATTGGGAATAGGTCTTAAGATTCTTAGTGGAAGAATAAATTATCAGGAAAAATAAAAAAGAGTATAAGATAATTTTAAAATTTAAGGTCTAAGGGGAAGACAGAGGGAGTATGAATCTTCGCCATTGCGATCGATTTTGAGCACTGTCACTCAGTCTCCAAACATCAATTAAGATAATTGCGCAGACCTTAACCAGTCAGTGTGCTCCTAACAATACGACTCACTTTAACTAGTTTATGAACTGATCCTACGTTTTAGTTTGGTCATCTTAGCTTTCTTTCAGCTCACTCTTACACCTCCCAACATCTCTTGTCTAGACGATAAAGATTCACAACCTCATCAATAGATTTTCCACTCTTGCTAAGTATTATGCGTCTAACCTCAGCAGTGCTCACTCGATAGCTTGAACATACGGGGTCGATGCTACAGACGTATCTGTTATCAAATTCTGGTGACCTACGAATATCCTCTACTTTTAAAGGTTACTTTTAACAACCACAGAGTATAACAAAACTAAGTGCTGCCTAGTGTGCTCGTCCTTTGGTTGACAGACGGACATTTCGCCTACGCAACAAGTGATGCAAACTAAAAAAAATGCTAAGGGAGCTTTCTCACATCAACTCATTAGGGCTGATGCAATCCAATCAGTCTTGAAGCAACATTTTGTATGCAGAGGTAGAGAATTGTATCCCTAGCATTTTTACATTTTTTGCTTTAGAAGGTCGGGAAACTGAATTTGATGAACATTTTCATCAAACAGACTGCAAAAATGACAATCATGTTGTATGGAAAGGGTAATTTTAATTCAAATATCTTACACTGCCTTATCTTTATTTTATAGATTCAAACTATTTGTTGGATCTCCATGTTTGGTTTAATCTATGGGCATATAGTCATAAATTACAAATCTTATCTATGGTTGAAAGTCGTGTAACACCAATCAACAGATTTTGGTCTGTTTTAATTGTCCCTGAAGATGTTAAAGGTTTGTCTTAATCCATGTTCTTGTAAATGTCTTTCAATTCAATAAAGTTATTTAAAGTTGCTTTGCTGACAATCTGGATTTCTCAGTATTCTCATCCTTATGAAGTATGTTTTACATTGCTTGATACAGTGAAAGTGCGTGAACTTTCTTAGTTCACTGAATACAAGCACTGACTAACTAGCTACATTAAAATCTAGTTCAGAATTGTTCATTACACGGCTTCATTCAGACTACGACTGGTTTCCATCAACCTTTTGATTCTGTTATGTAAAAAAAGATTAGTTTGTGACACCACTGAGAATAGAGACCTCTACTACCGTAGCGGAAGTTGCTTCGCTAATAGATTTGTGGGACTTAAGTCCTTTTACTGATTATATTGGGATATTATGGCATTAAAATGTGCCCCTATAGTGACCAATGATACGAATTTCGGTTTCTCGATACCTAGGAAGTTGAAGTAGACTGAACAGAATCGGATTATCCTCTTCCAAAAAATCTGTAAATGCTACGGCTCAATGTTACTAGTTGAACTAATTAAGATGTTAGATACTTATTTATTTGAACACACATAAACATTGGTACAAGGATGCGCTACATTTCGTCGTTTGTTTTGTGTGAGGGCTGGAATACTGCCCGGGCTCCCAAACCGAAGCAGGTGGATTTCTTAGGCGGTCATTCCCCTAACCTTTGATATGAAGGTCTAATCCACAAGGCAATGGAGCAACGTCAGGATATGCAGTCCCATGGTATCCGGTGACCAACAACAGGTTCATACGCCATTTGTTCCCTCAGGATCCTAAAGCCCATGTGCACCATTGGTTTGGAATCAGGGTTTTCTAGCTTTTCGTCCTCTCAATTATGTAAAAAACACACCCACTGTAGGAAGGCAGTGAGTAGGATATAGTGTCTAAAATAGTGATCATTAGTTCTAGAATCTCAGTTGCTAATTATTCAGCCCCTTGTAAAAAGTGAAAAACAGTTGTACTTTTTTAAAACTTAGATAGGTTGCTTAAACAAAATTCTTTATCTAAATCGTAAATCTGTTTTCACCCAAAACTCTCTTAGAACTTCCAGACAACTAACTCTTAAATATTTTTCTTGTTATTCAATGCGGTCATAGTTTTGTCATTTATTAAAATAATCTCATTTTTTTGAAGTCGTAAATTTTCTTTTCTAAACTCTCATTTCATTATTTATCATCTATATTGTAGACCGAGAGATGGGTAAATTGGTACGTATCGATTCAGATCATTTATATATAAGTAAACCAATGAATCCTTCTGATCTATCATATACCAGTATTGTTAATTTTATCGAAAATCTATCGTTATGTAAACAGGCACCTGTGAATACTGATAAAACAACCTTTGTAACTTCCCATATTTCTAGAGTACATTAAAAGTTTCTTCTTCTTATTATTATTATAACATGTTCTAATCTCATTGACTTTTCTCAGTTCATCAGTGAACAGAAGAGGTTTAATTTGTCATCTATGTTTTCAAGTTGTGAAATTCTTTCTGTTCGTTTTATTTGTACAGGCTACTTATCTTTGTTATTTTTTACTTTCACTCTTTCCTGAAGATTAGTCTAATATAATTTTTTTATTATTATTTTCAAAGTGATATTTTGGTTGTTTTTTTTTCGGTGACTCTGTACAGTGAATTATGTGTGTCTTCACCTTTGATTCCTCCCCACAATGTGTCTTTTCCAGATTAATTTATTTCTTTTTAAGTGGAATCCAAACTGTTACCTGTATTATTTTGTAATTTCTGATAATATAGAGTGATGATTAATAAATTAATTCATCAGTAATTGTGTTATTCAAAAATTAGGAGAATACGTGTATTTATCTCCAGATGTATCATGAATAAATCTGTTGAAGTGTATGATTTAAGTACTGCCAATTTAGTGTGCACCTACAGCTAAGTATAATGTATTGTTGGAGACTGTTTGTAGGAACCACGCAACTTAAGTTTTTGTGCTAGTTTACACTCTTGATCAAGCTGTATTTGAAACCGTCGGTGAATTAACGTTCATCACGTAGTTTGAATCTACCCAATCACTTATGCCATAACTGATCTGTAAGATTCAGATATTATGGATTACTGAATCAAATCATCTAATACTTGTGCCCGGTCAAATTCTGTCGATCTATTTGCAATATATCTGATTAACTTTTCAGTCAGCTGTTCGTGATGCAATCCGTTTTTACTCTTGTTGTCACTGTCATGTTCGTTTGTTGCAGTTCCTGACTCATTAACGTTACGAACTAGTGTTCCTTGAACATTGGTGACACTAGTATGCACAGTCTGCCAATTGAATTGCTTATTTAAACACGAATTGATTGGATTGCTTGTTTTGGGCTAAACTCAACATCGATGTGTTCGAACGCTTTCAGTTTACAGAATAGACCCAACTGTGACTCAATTCTTATCAATATTCTTTTTAAAACAGACTAAAATCGTTTAGGTTAAAAGGTTATAATGTAGTCCAGTCAAACCATTGAGGATTGACTATCTCATTACTCCATGGTTCACAAGATAATACAAGTACTGATAAAAACTTGTTAGTTTAATGGAACGAGTTCGCTGATCCCACTAAATATTTTCTTTAGACACGATCAGTTATTTGCATCAATATAAGATTCATTTTTTAGTATGCAATTAATCAAGGTGTAGGTTCCATAGAAAATACTTAGTTTCCAACTCACATTTCATTAGGCTAGATGAATCGTCGTAACCAGTTGGTTTTTGCATACTCGCATAAATAACTTACATTTCATCTTAATTACTACAGTAAGCTTATTTTGTGAACATGATTTAGATGTTACATCACAAAGTAACCGAGTTGTAATAGGTAATTTACAGAGCTTGTTCAATAAATCAAATTCTCTAGATAAATGATTTATTGGTAAAGGCTTGTGGCATTTAGTGCCGTCACGTCTGCATGGGTTATTCTAGCTTCCGGATAGAATTATTTATTCGTCTTCTTGAATCACATTTTGACCTTGTCACCAATTCGCTTATCAATATTGTCTGTTTTTATATGAGCGTATGTGTGTGCATTGCTTATCCTGCTCATCACATGTCTGTGACCTATTTGTATCTGACTAAACATTAAGTCATGCTTGATCAAGTTGGCCCACTCGCCTTATCAGCTGTCCTTCACCTCGTCTCGTCTCGCTTCACTTCAATTCTTTGATTGTCTGTTCACTTCAATGAGTGCACAAAATATACGTATTCAAACTGCATTCTCATGTTTGACTTAGTTGTATGTAAGAGGGTTTGGCGGCATGTATGTTTCCATAACAATCACCATACAATCTAATTAGAGTCAGATACAGGTCCATTAATATATATTAATGACGACTAATAAACACTAATTAGTGATGAAGAATTTTTGATAAAAAAAATGTTGCGACTTATTTGTAAGGTATTTTTTTAATCAGTTAAATATTTCCTGGCTTCAATATCAATGCTAATTTAATGAATTTAAAAAATGTATCTGATTTGGTTTGGTGAAAATACTATTAATCATAAAACAAAAGGTGGTTACGAATTCATTTAATAAATTTCAATCGATCCTATTTAACTTAAACCAGAATTAAAGTACTCATCAAAACAGTTTGTTTGAATAAAATCAGTTACACTTTAATGTCACATCCTTAAGAACAATATTGAATTCAAGTCGGATCAAAAGGTTTATCAAATCATAAAACTGAGCACTATGACAAATCTTTAGCCAACAGATTAAAACCTGGCTATGAACTCTGTCTGACTTCAAACTCACTGATTAAGTGATTTATCAAGATTATTTTTCTTGATGGTAGTTTTAAGACAACAGATGAAATGAAGCAAGTATTTCATCAATGCTTCTGACTTTTCTATTGTTGTTTTCTTTGTTTTACTACAGGTTACTGTTATAACTTGTGGCATTGTGTCCCATTAATACTTAAAGTAATGATACCACCAATTAGAGAACAGTGATTTATCGACCGCACCATTGATGCATAAAACCCATATGAGCAATCTAGAATCATTTTAACACATAAACATTGGTACAATGAGGCACCAAATATATATGCGACACACAAATCTCATTCGATATGTATGGGGGCTGTGATACTGCCCGGGTGCCCAAACCGAAGCAGGTGGTTTTCTTAGGGGGCCACACCCCGAGCCTTCAACCTGAAGATCTGATCCACAAGGCAGTGGAGCATCGTGAAGAGATGCAGTCCCATGGTATCCGGTGACCAACGACTGGTTCATACGCCATTTGTTCCCTCAGGATACTGGAGCTCATGTGTACCATTGGTTTGGAATCCGGTTAAAGCGCCGGACATTCGCTTTTCGTCCTCTTATTTTCGTAAACAACACCCCCGCCACGAGAAGGCAGTGACAACATCAATCTCAACCTCAACGATATCAATCATGTATTTCAAACATACTGGATTTATATTCAAACCAAACAGATCACATCGTACTATAAATTAGAAAATAACATTTGTACAAGTTCTAGTCTGAGATTGTGTCTGTGATTGTGGGAGACTGTAATCAATAAAGTGGGCATAACTCAAGAATAGTAGTTCGTGTGATAATAGTCTATGAGTTAAAATAAATCTTATGATAAGAGGAGCACAAATATGAATAATTTAGTCCTGTAACAATTATACTGTAAAAATATATGTATAATATTAATGCAGAAATAGATTCCAACAGTTACCATTTATTACTCTCATTGGGATATAACAGTTACCATTAGACACCTACACTTTATTGATCTATACCTATTCTACTGTGTTAGAATATATTTTTTAAATATAATTTCACTTATGATTAATAAACTATTCACTGTAACACATTGAAATAATCAAACTGTTTTGATGAATCAAATTTATCGCCTAGTTTCAAAATAGTTTGTTGAAACTTAATTAATAAATGTATCACACTGTATCATTGTATCCATAGTAAATAATAGTCAATAAATTATTGCATGATATTAGCTATCATCTGATAATTTCTGTTGTAGAGTTATACATATCTCGCAATTATTAATAATATTAAAAACTATTGAACATTAAATAATGAATATTTTATAAGTAAATTTTTTTTTGAAAAAAAAAGAGGGAAATATTTGAACATAGAATCACAATGACCTAAATCGTATATCGTGTGATATTTTAGTAAGCGAATACTGTTGTAGATTTTACAAACGAGTATGAAATATGTATACAGTATTTATATGTTTTTTTCTAATATTACCTCTTCAGTTGATCTTAAGTTATAATAAAAAACTAACTTTAAATTGAATAAATCTCTATAATCTATACACATAAATATCTATTACGTTTATGTGTCTTAATGAATAAATGTTTAGTGTTACTTATATTACAATAGTTGAGATCATAATTCAATTGAAACTAGACCACCATGGAAAACCTGGAAGCACTGGACAGCTGTTTCGTCCTATTATGGGACTCCTCAGGAGTGCGCATCCACGATTCCGCACCCCACGAGATTCGAACACAAAACCTGTCAGTCTCACGTGCGAGCGCTTAACTATTAGACCACGGGACCGACATCCAACGGTGTTAATGTCTAACTTCAACTAATCCACGAAATAGCGCCACTGTCACCATTGTCTTCAATGAGCTGATATCTCATAACACACCTGGTTGAGCTCCACTGATCACGGCTTCTCACTAGAACTCCAGGAAACGCCTCTTGAAGTCAGTCACCAGTGAGCAGATGATTATTATCAGAATGGGTTTTGTAAAGATTTTAGTAGTTTCAATAATTGAAATCATGAGTCAATTGAAGTGCTTTCAGGTTTTTCATGGTGGTCTAGCTTCAATTGACTCATGATTTCAACTATTGAAATTACTAAAATCTCCGCGAAACCCCTTCTGATATTACCTATATTACTCTGTTTGTTGTTAATATCTACATCATAGCAATTGTAAAATTGTAATTTACACCATTAAAGTATAAATAAATGTGAATCAATCGTTCATTTTCTATATGAATAATATTTTTCATAATTAAGATCAATAAAAGCTAGACCACCATGGAAAACCTAGAAGTACTGAACAGCCATTTCGTTCTATTGTGAAACTCCTCATCAATGCACAATCACGATCCCACCTCGCAAGATTTGAACCCAGAACCTATTGGTCTCGCACACAGGATTGTGAATACACACTGCTGAGGTTTTCTATAGTGATCTCACTTCAATAGATTCATGATCTCAACAACTAAAATTACTATAATATCTACACAAAAATCCTTCTGATAATAATATTTTTATTTATCATAAAGTTGAAAATAATAAAATTTTGTAAGTCTGTATCTATTCTATATATTAACAAATATGTTTTGATTAAGTTTAACATATTTAACCCGAATGCCCTGGTACAACCGAGAGTGGGGAGAGTCCGCTCTCCCTCTCGAAATGCTCTCACATGGCCACGCGTATATAGCCTCTACCAGGGAAGTCTTACTGACTACCTTCTCGTGGCGGGGGTGTTGTTTACGAAAATAGGAGGACGAAAAGCGAATGTCCGGCGCTTTAACCGGATTCCAAACCAATGGTACACATGGGCTCCAGTTTCCTGAGGGAACAAATGGCGTATGAACCAGTCGTTGGTCACCGGATACCATGGGACTGCTTCTCCCCACGATGCTCCACTGCCTTGTGGATCAGATCTTCAGGTCGAAGGCTTGGGGTGTGGCCCCCTAAGAAAACCACCTGCTTCGGTTTGGGCACCCGGGCAGTATCACAGCCCTCACACATATCGAATGAGATTTGTGT